TGTTCCGACTAAATGCCTCCATCAAGACTATATTATTATCACAGTGAGTGGGCTCGGTGGCACCGTCAAGGACGCCATGAAAAACCACTTTCTTCTTCTCGTACAGACGCTGCTCGGACTAGCGGGGACCACTGCTAGCTGCGACCGGTTTTCGAGAATTAGGCAGTATGACTCGGGAACGTCGGCTATCCTGCATCGAGAACAGCACCCCGCTGTGCTGTTATCACGGCCTATGGCGGTAATCCTTCTTCCTGTGAATCCAGCTATTTGGACTATCGCACCGCACCGCCCCTTCGGCCAACCAGGGACACCAGCGACATCGGACGTAACGCACAAAAGGCCCCATCAGTCACGTGCTCCCTTCAGTGGGCTCGGTGGCACCGTCAAGGACGCCATGAAAAACCACTTTCTTCTTCTCGTACAGACGCTGCTCGGACTAGCGAGGACCACTGCTAGCTGCGACCGGTTTTCGAGAATTCGGCAGTATGACTCGGGAACATCGGCTATCCTGCATCGAGAACAGCACCCCGCTGTGCTGTTATCACGGCCGACGGCGGTAATCCTTCTTCCTGTGAATCCAGCTATTTGGACTATCGCACCGCACCGCCCCTTCGGCTAACCAGGGACAGCAGCGACATCGGACGTAACGCACAAAAGGCCCCATCAGTCACGTGCTCCCTTCAGTGGGCTCGGTGGCACCGTCAAGGACGCCATGAAAAACCACTTTCTTCTTCTCGTACTGGTTAGAAGGGACTATCTATTTTCTAAGTGTCACAAAAGTGATGTTCTTTGCTTTGTGGTGCTGCCGAGCCCTGAGTGTATTTTGTGTTGCGTTTATGAATCGTTCAGCATTGCTCGCTCACTGTTGTTGTTGCTTAGTAATGATATAGAAGAAAATCCTGGCCCAAACACCCTCGACGAGATCCTAAAAGTGGTTACAGAAATTAAAACTTCGCAACAAACATTGGAAGAAGAATTGCAAGGAGTTCAATCCAGACTGGCAGAGATAGAAGGTACTCTAGCATCGATAAAACAGTACCATCAAAAAGTGGAGCAGTGCGAGCAGTATGTCGCCACAATGAGTAAGGACGTCAGGACTCTGAGCAAAAAAATAGACGACATGGAAAACAGAAGCCGCAGGAATAACGTTATTATTTACGGGTTGGAAGAAAGACCGGATGAAAATAGTACCAATTGAGAACAAGCGGTAGTGAAAGGAGTGTTCAAAGACAAACTCGGGGTAGAAACAAGATCAGTCGAGCGTGTACATCGCATCGGAAGGAAAAGACCAAACAGTACAAGACCTGTAATTATAAGGTTTTACAACTTCACAGAAAAGATGACCATTCTGCGTAACTGCAAGAAGCTCAAAAATAGCTCGATATCTATATCGGAAGACTTCTCGGCCTCAGTATGTGAAGTGCGCACTAAACTTTGGCAGTCTTCTAAAGCAGAGCGCGATGCGGGCGATAAGGTAACACTACTATACGATAAGCTCAAAGTGAACGATCAACTGTACCTATGGAATGAGGAACAAAAATGCAGACTGCCTTTGAACAGTGTGCGTCATGGCGGCGCTGGGAAGTCCAAGGACCACAATGCATGACGAATACGGGTTGTGAATTCACTGTCGTTAATAAGTTTTAATGCAAGGAGTATTGTGAATAAAGTTGCAAAACTAGAAGATATATTGCTCATTCACTCTCCTGACGTTGTGTGCATAACCGAAACATGGCTACACGGCGATATTCATGATTCAGAAATAGTTCCTCCCTCCTATTCTCTTATACGCACCGACCGCGATAGTCGCGGCGGTGGAGTCGCTATCGCAGTGCGTAAGGGTTTATCGTTTCGTAAAGAGCAAGGCATTCCAGACCATGAAAGTGTGTGGTGCACTGTATATGCCCATGAATCGCCCATGCTGATTGGTGGTATTTATAGGAAGCCAAACGCGTCTGACGAATACATCATAAAAATTCACGACTTCCTTCATGGCAAGTTGAAAGACCGTACTAAGTTAATGCTTGCCGGGGATTTTAATTTGCCCACTATTGACTGGAATACACTGACAGATGGTAGTAGAGATGTTTCTAGTTCTGAGCTGCTTTTGAACATAGCATTTAGTTTTTCATTATCCCAGCTTGTCACAGAACCAACGCGCATTCAGGGGCATACGCTTTCAATACTAGACCTTGCATTTATCTCTAACCATCTAACAGCTGATGTCACACTAGAAGAGGGCATATCTGATCATAAACTTGTTCTTATAACAATCACTTTCGGTCACAGTGTACCAGTTCCTAAATCACGCGTAGCTGTTAAAAACTACAATAGAGCTGATGATGTCAGCATTATTGACTACCTCGAAGTAGCGTTAGAAACGTTTTCCATTGGAAATCACCATACAGTGAATAATCTGTGGCTTAAACTAAAAGATATAATAAAATATTGTGAGGAAACATTCGTACCCACGCGACTCAAACGTACAAAACGCAGAAACACGTGGATTACGCGTGGTGTGATCCACCTGAAAAGAAGGCTGCAAAGAATGCGAAAGAAGAAACGTAATCCTGACGATATTCGCCGACTTTCAGATGAGTTAAAGGCATCTATTAGGAACGCAAGAGACGTTTTCTTTTCAACGACATTAACAAGTTTCATGACACAGCATCCACAAAAGTTTTGGCGCTATCTATCCAAGCCCGCGGACCACGTTACTCAAATCGATACCAACGGGACTATTACGGATGAAGCTCTCACTATTGCCAACACGTTTAACAGGTACTTTCAGTCGGTTTTTACACGCACTTCTGCGTCTGCTCAAAACAAAACTGTGCTAGATTCTGCGTTATCAATGTCGGAACTAGTCATAACTCATGATGGAATACTTAACTTGTTGCTGCAGATTGATGTCAAGAAACGTTCAGGCCCTGACGATCTTTCGAATGCCTTTCTACGGCGCTACGCAGAACAAATAACTCCCTTTCTACATGCAATTTTCGTATCATCGCTTCAAACAGCCACACTGCCGACGGACTGGCTTCGTGCCAGGGTCCTTCCTATTCATAAAGGGGGTAACAAATTACTTGTGACCAATTACAGGCCGATTTCACTGACTAGTTCTTGTTGCAAGCTAATGGAGCATATAGTCAACAAGGCAATCACCACTTACTTAGAAGATAACAACCTACTTTACTCCAAACAACACGGCTTTCGAAAAGGGCTCTCTATCATAACCCAACTTCTCGAAATAGCACATGACTTTGCTACCGTAATTAACTCAAGACTTCAATGTGACGCAATATTCATAGATTTCTCCAAAGCATTTGATAAGGTGCCCCATCAAAAACTAATTGACAAGCTGAAGATTATCGGGATTGAAACCAATATAGTACACTGGATAGCCGCCTACCTCTCAAACCGCAGTCAGCACGTTAAAGTAAACGACGCTGAATCTGAAGAGTTAGTCGTTTACTCGGGGGTCCTACAAGGGTCTGTGCTAGGCCCGATTCTTTTCCTAATTTTTGTTAATGACATTCATTGTCATGTTGAACCTGACGTCACAGTTAGACTGTTTGCTGACGACTGTGTCATTTATACCACAGTACAAAGGATCGACGATTAGTTACGGCTTAATACCTCCTTAACTAACATTTCAAGATGGTGTCAAGAATGGGGAATGGAAATAAACGTAGGAAAAACCTCGTATATGCATATAACCCGAAAGAGAGCACTCTTAAAATTTGCGTATCATTTAAATGGACTACACGTAGCAGAGGCCTCTTCGGTGAAATATTTGGTCGTTACCATCACAAACACATTAAAATGGGATGTTCACATTAACCAGACGTGCACAAAAGCATACAGACAGCTGGGATATCTTCGCAGGAAACTCGCTCTAGCCCCTTCCAAAGTTAAACTAACAAGTTATAAATGCCTTGTACGACCAATCCTCGAATACGGCAGTGTAATCTGGAATCCGCATCAAACTTACCTTCTTAACCAGCTGGAGGGAATACAAAATAAAGCGCTCCGATTTGTGTATTCTCAGTATTCACGAGATGTCAACATAACTGTGCTCCGCAATAGGGCAAGCATTCAAACACTGGCGATCCGGCGACGCATAGCTGCATTAAAATTTCTTTATCTGCTTCATCATGACAACATTAACATCAACAAACACGAGTACTTGAAACCACCATATCAGCGCTTTGCCAGAACAAACCACGACAAGAGTATCAGGCCTTTCATCTCCCGTTGCAATTCATTTAAGTATTCCTACTTTCCGTCAGCAATAGAAATATGGGATAACCTGCCACGTGATATAGTGTCCTCAGAATATCTCGAATCATTCACTACCAATCTTGAAAAGTTTTTGGATCAGTAAGTTGCAGCGTTGTAGAATAATGGCGCAACTTTTCATTGAATGTACGTTTTGATTTGTATGCCACTCGATGTTTCAATTCTTAGATCTGTGTCTAATATGCACTCTTCCCTGTTAGCCTGTGGTGTTTTATTCTGTTTTATTTCTTGGTTCTTCGACTAGATGTACAGTTGTAATTTGTAATTGTTTAGAGTAGTATGTACTGTTAATTCTTATTTTTTTCCCCGTGTTCATTTTTTTTTGTTTACTATTTTTTGTTCTGTGGTTTAATGTGAAGATGAGATTCTGTATAATTTCTTCCCACTCCTGTATGAGCCTGTTAAGGCTTACAGTATCAATAATAAATAAAAATAAAATAAACAAATAAAACAGGCCCAATGTTCACACACATACAAGCACAGTACCTTGTATTATGCTTTACAGGTGATCCATTTATATTTGCATAACACGGCCTAGATGTTACTAGGATTAGAAAGTGCCATAGCTCACCTTTCACAAAGAAAGTCGCAGGACTGTGCTGACCCACACGTAACCTCCAGGTGGTCAAAATAATCCAACAGGACTGGCATAATGGCACTGAATTCTTGTAAACCGTGAATGATTCTCTTATATACAATTTTCTTGCTTAAACAAGGCACACATCATCGATGGTCTGAAAGATATCATCAGCGTCATCTGAAAATGCACAAAAAGAAAATGTGAAATATCATGTGCATTTACTTTTCATGAGTGTGCAGCCAGATTGTCCGAAAAGTTAACAGAGGAGCTTTTATTGTAATCCCCTCAAGGTATACTGTACTTAACAAAAATCTGTGGCATATCATCCAAAACTTTCTTATTTTAATTCTTCCTTAGCAGAAGTGTTCCCCTTCCCCTTCAGAAATGTATTAGATCTTTACCTCTGACAGTCACTGACAGATTTTTGTGGACCTACTTTCTACTATGCCACAGAATAAAAAGTCTAGAAAGATGGTAGAATATGCTTGCAAAGCTTGTTGATGAATGATATATTTTAGTAAATAAAGATATTTAAACAAATAGAAAAATAAAATAAATTAAAAGTTTTTCTTAACCAGAACATAGGACCTGCTCTTACTCCAAGTTAAGACCAGGCTGGCATGCCAAATGAACTTTGTTATGAAATGGCAACAGTTGGCAGTTTAAGGTTGAATAAAACACTGCTGGTATATATTATGCATTTTTGTCTTTTGGGGGGGGGGGGGGGGCATGCTACATCACATCTTCATTGCATGTCGCACTACCTTCAAGCCGTTTGTTAATAAAAATGAATTATATGTGCAAACCATTGAGCTAAAAAGAAATAATAATGACAAAACATCTCTGCATTATGATCAGTGATTACTCCTACCTTCGAGCCACTGAAGTTCTTCCACACTTGTGTCATTATCACTTGGGGCCAGCAATTTGGAGGAATCAGCTGCAGCATTTGCTGATGTGCCGTTCACCACACACTTGGGAGGAGTTGCATTGTTCAAAGCACAGGGCTGTGCTGCTACTTGAGGCTTGTTTGCAGCGGCCGATTTCAGCAAGCTGACGACGGGTGACACAGCACACGGCGGCTTGGGGCTAGAATTCGCTGTTGACGGCTGTACTGGTGGCTTGTATGCGGGAACTTTTGGGGGGCACGGTGATGCCGTTGGATGATCAGGGTGAATTGCATTATCGTTTAGCCATCCACTTGGCCTCTTTGTTCCTGCTCCTTGAGCTAGCTTAGGTCTTGCACTTATCATGGTACTGTGTGACGTGCGAGTTGCACCTGTTGCTTCTACTCGTGTTTGCCACGAACCTGCTTTACTATCCCTGGTTCGTGATTGAGCACCAACATTTCCCTTGTTAGAAAAGAGACTCGGACTTGCACTCCCCCTGCCCTGATTCCACTGTGCTCTCCCATTTGTGGAACCAGGCTGCACAGACGAAAAATTCCTGGCACGAGATTCCAAGTATGGAGAACTGCAGCCCAGATTGGGGTTTCGGTGTCCTGAACCTTGAGCCTGACGTTTCGCAGCATCTTCGAGAGCTTCACGCTCCAGCTGAGCACAGATGCACTCTAGCTCTTGCAGTGTCATCGGATTGACATCGACTCTGTTGATATCAGGGCCACCGTCATCAGAGCTGTAGTAGATATGGGCAATATTCTGCTTTGTTAGAACAAGGCAGTGCTGGCTGTGGTCATTGACGTAGACACTTGCCTGGAAAAAAGAAGAAACAAGCTGTGTAAAAGTATGCAACCATTATACTATGCAACACTGCATATGACCATCATGAATATTGAGCATTGTAGACAAGCAACCAAATTTACATGCAATGGGCATCTGTTATATTCACAGACAATAGGACAATAGAGCAGGCAACGCATGGCACTCTATTGACTCATAGTAAGCTTTTAAGCGTAACAAGACAACATACACAAACTTCCCAGTTAAAGTAAAAAAGTGATGAAAAACACACAAATAGCCTTTAGTTCATAGGTCTGTGGCTGAACAATTACAATTTCATTCCAATTTTCTGGTTATTTTTAAAAGGGTGGTGCCATCAAATTTTGATGCGATAACAAGCCTATTGTGGATTTCCTCTGTGTGCAAGGACACTCCCCACGAATAGTCAGACACAGCAAATGTTTAAAATAAATTTTAATTCACTTCCAAAGTATACCTTAATGCCCATTCTCCCGAAGGTGTCCAATCCCTAGTGCGTCCAACAATGATGTAGCACTATAGGAAGGGCAGCGAAAGTTGTAGCAATGTTTAAAGGGGTTGCTGCGCAAACACAAAAGTGCTGAACGAAAAGTGTATTGGAAGGCAAGTTGAGGAACAGAAAGCAAACAGAGATAACACAAGCGCTGGTTAAATCCGTTTTTTTGCCGCTTGTGCTTGTCGTTGAGTGTTTCTTTACTTTGTGTGTGTGTTTTATTTACGGCCAAAGCATGTCAGTAAGCCCTGCCTTCTGTTGCAAATTTACTTCAGCACTTTCATGCTTTCAAAAGGAAGGCAGGGAGGTTAACCAGATGCTACGATTCGGTACGCTACCTTGCACTGGGGTTGGGGATTAGAGGGTTGAAAGAGGTTTCAAGCTTTACTGGCTGCTGGCTATAGTAAAAAGATGCCGCAAAAGCAGTAAAGACGCTCGAAACAAAGTGAATGCATGCGTTGTTGACTCTTTACTAACTTTATTTTTAAGATTGTGTTGACCATGCGAATACCATAGGTAGCGGGAGAACTGCCCCTATGGAAACTATTAGTGTGAATGTACTGCACGAGATAAGTTACCTATCCCTCGACTGTGGTAGTGTGTTTAGCGTAGTTTTGCAGTTCTTTTGCATCTGATGACATCAGCTTTATGTTGTTACAAGCATTCTTAGCTCGATAAAGCTATCGAGATATACCTTTGCTATATTGAGAAACTGTAGAAATGAAATTGACCTGCCTGGCCATTCCCAGAGTGAGAATGGACCAAGTTTTTTTTATTCAGAGGAATGCAAAAGAATGGAATCAGAGCAAGTTGCCATTCACCAGAATAAAATTGGAATGGAATGGACTTGCCGATTCCACAGCACTGATGTAGATTTGTGAGGGTAGGGTAGATGGAGAAGTATTTTGCTGAATTTCTTGGTCACCAGCACAACAGCTGACACAGGAAGCGAGTAAAACGAAAGAGCTTGTTGTCTGTTATTTATCTTAATTTCTGTGGTACTCCTCAGGCTGCTCACCAAATATGTTATAATGGTTTACTCGTAAATTTTTGTGCACGAAAAATAGACAGAAACACAGATGCACAGCATTAAAAATGCAAAATAGGCCAACATAACACGTGAAAGGCGTAGACAGGAACACAGAAAAGCTTTCTGTGTTCGTGTTTGCATCTTTCATGTGGCAACAAGAGTATGGTAAATCAACAGGCTCTAGTTGACCCCCTCCTAATATGACTTGCTTTACATTTTTAATGCTACTACATAAAAAAAAAAACATGCAAACTTGGTCTTGCAAGACTTCTCTTAGAAAATAACTAGCAGTACGTAATTAAATGAAAAAGTCTAAACTTGGTCTTTCAAGACTTCTTTCAGATGACAACTAGCACGAGATTAGAACAGCTATCCGACAGTTAGATAACCGTCTATGGCTATAAATTGTGTTGACCAAGGCGTCTTAGCTCTTGCGACTAGCCGTTCAAGACATTTATTAGACATGAAATAGCTTTATTAGTGTTTCACAGAAAGTAACAACTAGCATTTCTTTAGTTACGTGCGCCGATACCGCTATAGAAGGAATAAATACAGTGCCACAGCAAATCTTGCCTAAAGTGCTCACTATGGAGCCATTTCTGTTTTCTGCTAATAGTTAGCAATGATTTCATTCTCGCACGATCATTCGAAGGCACGCGGTGGCGAAACCAAAGTGCATTTCGAAACAACTGCAAAGTCCAGAATACGTAGCCAACACTGTGACCAACACAGCGACGAAACGGACATAATCAGCAGTCCGCAATAAATGCGAGAACTGACAAAAAATTTTTTTAGATGCGGTACAGTCGCAGGGAGCTGATTGTCTATCATTTAGTTGGGTGAAGCACTTCATCTACTTGGCATACACACCTTGCTGAGCCGACTGAACCCACTCCCCTTCAGACTGTGCACAGATGCGGCGAGAAGCCTGTTGCGTTAAGGCGATGCTGCGAGCTTTCTGCAAGCAATGCTCTCGCGGACCTGGCAGAGGGCCGAGGCACGTTTGGGTTGTCGCCTCATGAAAGAGCGTGCTACATTTGCTGTATCAGTGCCCGCAATCTACAATGCTCAGCTACGCGACAGCGGGCAGCTGTCGTTTCTACAAAGCGGCGCACGGTGAAAACGGTACCATGCGACGACTGAGGTGGCAGCACTCAGCACCTCAGCGCTCTCAGGTAGTCGACGGCTATCAAAAGTGTGCAGTAGGCTTAAAGCGGTGCTACACCACACACGCAGGCTTCTTGTTGATGATAAGCCATACTGGCGCTCTTTATGAATTACCAGCACAGGCACGGCCTCAATCGCGCAGAAGTTGGAATAATTTATCGGCTGATCAGCACAAGTGCACAATATGGTGACCACGCATACTACTATGTGGCGTAGCAATCGTGCAAATTAAGACAAGAAAGACCCTCTTGAAGCCGTATGGTGCAGTGATTTCCAGTTGGCACAGGTTTCCCACTACTGACATATGCTTGCCGCACAGATGGGCCGGATTCGATCCTCGCTCAAACTCGGGAATTTTTATTTGATTTGCATCTTTCTCGATTTTTCACTCGCAACCAACAGCAGTAACACCGACACCGGAATTTGTGCAGGAAAAGCTCTTTAATGCTATCCCATTAAAAGCGGCAAATACAAAGTGGCTACAGCGCAAAACAAGTGCCCATGAACTACCAAGCAGCGGGAAGGGTACCTTCCATTCACTTGAGAAAACTGCCTTGTTTCCTGCATTACGGGGCATTGAACCCAGCACCTTTTGCATTGGTCGCAGATGCTCTATCACTTGACCACAGTGAAAACTGAAGAGCACCAGCATATACTGAAAGTACCATCTTGTCAAATAAAAAACAAATGATCTCACCTTCATCAGAATAAAGGCAGCACCTGCTTTTAAGCAGTACTTGTAATCTTGACAGCTTTTGTCAATAGTTGCAAGAATCTCACCTAGTGAAAAAAATATTTCACACAGTTCAAAACTGCAAGAACAGCAATATGAAACACAATTACAAAATCACAGACTATCTTCTACTCTCACACCTTAATGAAAAGGAATAAGAGCATTGAAACATAATATATACAGGTGTTGGGGTTTAATGTCCCAAAACTGCCATATGATTATGAGAGACGCTGTAGTGGAGGGCTCCGGAAATTTCGACCAGCTGGGGTTCTTTAACATGCACCCGAATCTGAGCACACAGGCCTACAGCATTTCTCCCTCCATTGAAAATGCAGCCGCCGCAGCTGGGATTCGATCCAGCAACCTGCGGGTCAGCAGCTGAGTACCTTAGCCACTAGACCACCGCGACGGGGCGTACAGAACCACTTGTACTGTTACAAAGTATTCTAGGAAATTTAAGTAACTTATCAAATTTATAGCAGTACAATGTTAATGCCTGTATGGAGTAAATAAATGAAGAAATTCCAAGAAAGGTACCCAGCAGACACCACAATCAACATCTTCACAAGCCTATGGTTGTCTCACCTGTACCATCACGAAGTGTGAGAATATCTTTTGCAACATTCTTGATAGAGGTGCAGAGAACTGGCACTTTGCCACGAGGAAGCTGCTGTAGCCGTTTCTGTAAAGAAGACATGGCGCACAAATCTTGCACTCAAGTCAGGCATCACACCACTGGGCAGTTGGAATGGTACAACAAACATGGATGAATGAGGTAAGAGGTGAAAAAAATTATAAGGTTGGCAAGTAATACTATTTACAGATAACAGTTGTACCTTATAAATGACTGAAGAGTTAGCAATGTACATCTCTTCAAATATTTGTATAGCATATTGCCTTTTTTGCATTATGAAATGCATAAATTTCAAGTACCTGTGTGTGATCATGCACAAGTACTAGAAATTTATGCATTTCTGAATGCAAAAAAGGCAATATGCTAATTCTAAAAAGTATTCTACATACTGTTGCGGTACAAATATGTGAAGTTATAAATAATAGCTTAACTCATAAGTTAACAGCTGCCATTGTTTTTGTTTTCCTTTAACCAGTATTATGGCTCCTAGAACTTCAAACCTGCTAGCTTTAACATCTGTTGTACGGAATACAAAGACAATACTAATATGGATATCGTACCATCTTGAGGACCCAGGCAATGGAGTACTCATTCAGCTTGCTATTTTTCACATTTTCCATTCCCAGATCCTGTCTTAAACGTTGCCAAGGAGAGAGCGGGTTGTCTGCCTCAGCACTCCATGGAGTGCAAAGCAAATCCTGGAAACGTACAACAAATAGTAGGCAGATGAACCACAAGGCAACTTAAAAAAAAAATGAAACAAAAAACTGACCACATACATACACATATAGGGTGATGTGTGCTTATTCATGATTACGATCATACAGTTGAAAATATAATAATAATATGGATTGAATTATATTTTACTGCTGGACACCTGAACCAAGGAAGCAACTCCATGCTACAAAAGATACAAAGAAAAATGAAAAAGCTGTTTATATAAATTATAGTCTCACTTAGTCAGACTAGAATGCAGAGGCAAAACTAAAGTGGGCACTGGGATTATATGGGTATATGTACACACTCGTGTGTGTACAATATAAATATCTAGGTCTCATTTTCACTCAGGATTTATCTGAATCTCATCACATTGAAATCATGTGTAACCGTGTGCTTAGAAAGTCAGGCTACCTGCAATTCACATTACGTTCAGCACCTCTTGGCATTCGACTCCTTACTTACAAAACTTTGCTTTGTCCAATATTGGAATATGGTCTGTTGTATGGAACCCACAGAAAATTTCTGACATCACCAAAATAGAAACTGTTCAGAAGAAGGCTGTACGCTCCATTTATCGTTGCTATGGCAGGTATTTTTCACCTAGTTCCCATCTTCCAATTCTTGAGCTTACCAGTCTCTCTTCTCGTCGTCAAGTTGAATGTTTGAAATTTCTTCATAATTTAATTCACTCTCCATGAGTCCTCCTACTAAGAAAGTACATCACACCCACTAGACCAACAACCACCTGACATTACTACGAGTTAAACATGTCTACTTTTTCTCATCGTATGGTGACGTTTAAGTATAGTTTCTTTGTTCATTCTATAGAATTGTGGAATGCTCTGCCTGGGTATGTTCGATCTTCATCACTTGGTGACTTCTTATTGTATATTACTAATCAATGATGTTTAGTGAATTTTGTTATGCTCTTTTAAGTGTTGTATTTTGCCACTCCTGCGATAGTTCTTTGGGGCTGTAGTATGTTGAAATACATAAATAAATGGGTGAAAAATATCACAGTGAACTATTATACCTGCCATAGAAAATGCACTATAGTGTTACAGGTATCTATATAATGAAGCCAACAGAAAATAAAGCTATAGAAAGTGCAGGGTACATTTTGTAGTTTCTAAACATAGTGTAATAATTGTCATAAATGAAACGGAATTAAAGCGGACAAAAAGGTGAAATCCATTTGCTGCTGGTGAATATACACCCTTCGAATTGCGCAGCTGATGCTCTACCAATGATGGCAGCTATCACTGTTTGCGTTGTTGAGTATTTCGCAAGTGTAATCCTGGCAGCATTAGCCAGTGTCAATTGACAACATGGCGGCAAATGAGGTACGCTTTTTTTTTTTTTGGCAAGTTTGCATCACATTATATTTTTACAAGCAGACAGCTTCATGCTGCTTAAAGGTATAAAGACTGGCAGGTTCAGACTCTCGTTATAGGGGTTGAATTCTGTGTATGTGGCAGTACACTGACCACATAAGAGTTTCAACCGACTTTTTTTCTGGACACTTATTTTTGCCAATGAAGAGTGTCAATACTTCTTTTTTACTCACAAGATACTTACATCAGGTGGTTCTGGCTTCACGGAGCTTACTTCGCCGGTGGTCATTCCAGAACCAGGAAACGGCAGTGAAGAACGCTGCAAACACAAGGTGTTACTATGTTTATGTCCAAACAAACGTCTCACGGCATGCTCACCGACTTGGGAAGTATGCCAGCAGGGCCCGGGAACTTCCGCTTTCTCGGCACAATCTCAGGCTCTTCTGCGAGCCAACCAACCGAATCGTCGTCGAACATGTCCGATGGGATCTCCGGTAGTCCGTTCGGAGCAGGGCAGGAAGGCAAACAGCGACTTCCTTGCCTCTTTTTAGGCTCGCTTTCATGGGCGCACTCATCAAAATCATCGTCGAAGCAGTTTTGAAGGTCCTCAGCACACAGGCCCGTGGCAACAAACAAGTTATCGTCGTTTGCCTTGTCGGGCTTCGTAGAGCTCTTTTTACAAACACCCGCAGTTGCTTTGCGTTTAGCATGCATTTCGGGACCTCTGTTCGATGCACTGCTGGCTCCATCGGCTTCGCAAAATGCTGCGCAGTCGTCGTCGAATTCGTCCCAAAAGTTCTGCAAAGTTTGAGAATATGTAAGCAGTGGGATGAAAGCAAGTAAGGCATAACAACTAAGGTAACAAGGTCGGAATGTTTAGCGTACTTACATCGTCGGTTATGTTGAAGTCATTTACATCCCTAGGGAGTGACATGACGACAGTTTTCAACGATATTTACACGATTTACAGAAGAGTCATTCACACGGGCAATCTCAACTGATCTACATCACCACTCTTCGCGCGCTCAAACACTGCGCCATCGCACATCGCAACAACAACACATGTGCGAGTACGAGGAGCTTTCAACTCTGTAGGTTCGTATGCTGCTATATGATAAGAAAAGTTTGCTTGTCATAAGTTTTTTGTTTTCTTTAATGTCCGAGTACGGTACAGACTGTTAGTTTTTTTGCGCATTTTTAATTAACTTTATTCAAATTGCAACGGCATTGCCGCACTTTCGCATCTGTCATGGCGGGAATGTAGCATTTCAAAGTGCAGTTTTTGCTCAATCTTTCCTGCTTCTGCATCTCACAAAAATGTGCTCATTATCGTCATTTCCTCGACCGCCGCCGAGAGGTCTCATCACCCTGTTCGAAAAGGATGGTGACTTGCACGAAGGAAATGAACGTGAATGGAAAGAACTCGCTGAACGAGTGAGTAGTCCGTGTATGGTCTTTTTGAGTTTCGTACCTCATCGCTGTCTGTGAAGCTACAAAAATGAAGAACGTTATTGTTTCGATCCACGACTGCTTTTAGAAGGTGACACAAACGCAGTTGCGGTGTAAAGCGGGCATTTAGAAAACAAAATTTCGGGTCTCAAACTTGCGCTACAGCCAGTCTTGCCGTACCATGCACAAATTTTTTTTGCCTTTCCTGCCACGATGTATGGATATATATCAAGAACTTGAACTGGAATTTTAAGGTGTCCTCAACTGAAATTGTTTTAATCAGTTTCCAGCATATCCTCGTGTATCCATAGTCCGGGAGACCACAAGACACCCTGCTTTTGCGGAAAGTGCTGCTGGTGCCTTTCTTCAGCAACCTGAGTCCATTTGGAAGCAAGCATTTGTGTCATGGTAAGGCTCAACACCATATTTCGCTCCAATGGTGTGTCTATTGTGCATTATTTCGGATATTTGTATTCTAGGCAAGAGAAAGGATTCATTGGCTTCTTGGAACAGTTATCAACATACAATGAGTCATCTATTGGTGAGTACAGCAGATCAATTCATCTTTTTTTTTTTTTTTTGCATCTCCAGTAAGAAACCTTTGTTTATAAAGAGCAGCAGCTATGGCCTCTGTTAGTTTCAGTTTGCTAAAAAAAATGTTTGCTCTATTTTTCAGACTTATCTATAGCACGATTTGCTGCAAAAAGTATTCTATTCGGCACGAGATGGTTTTACAAGCAAGGGCTGCTGTTCCCACATTTGCTCGTGAGTGCCTGTTTTACTTCCACTCGTGTTTCTATTGAGCATGAAGCATGTTGCTTCCACTCTATGTAGTATGGTCGCTTGGGCTACCATTGCTTTCGTGGGTTGTATTAGCATGGTGCACATTTGCTGCAGAATCGCACACATTTCGCTCACGTTTTTTTTCTTAGGGAACAAACAACATATTAATTTCACTTCTGCACATGCTTGCTTACATCTAGTATGTGAAGTAAAGTTTGCCTGCACTAAGACTCTGCCTTGTACAGGCCATAAGACAGTGCATTCCCTGCGAGTTCCACAGAAAATGAAACCTAAAAGCAGAAATTCGTGCTCTTTTTCATAGCTCTATCAAGCTGGAAATACGTTTCTCTATTTCAATCTCTGTCAGTAATGCACAAAATTCGTCGTTCGTAATCAATCAATCCTCATATCCCGCAAAGAATGTCTCCTCCGCTCTCTAAAGTTATTGATCAAATGCAGTGTAGTTATTGTGGCAACCAATTTTATAAACAAATTAAAATATCAAATCATTTGCTTTCACCTCTTTCACTGATGCTATAATTATGAAGACATTTAGTCTTAGAATCTTGGGAATGATACTTGATACAGCGGGCACAAATTGTTTAACCATTCACAAATTGTCAAAGAAGACGGTTAGCATCATCGGTCGCATCAAGTGGGTAGCTAACAGAAGGCGAGGCCTGAGCTAGAGAACTTGATAAGGCTTGTGCAAGCTTTCTTGATATGCTATTTCACGAATGTAACCGCTATGCACGTCTGGAAGAGGGCCGAGCAAGACAAGCTAAATGCTATGATAAAGAGAGGGATCAAAAGTTGCTCGGACTACCAAATTACACACACACTGTCTGGCTCCTGCAGTTGAGCATTCACAATGCCCCAGTAGAGATTGCAGAAGCACAGGAAAGTGCGCAGATTGTCAGACTCTCTGGCACCAGGGCAGGCAGGCGACTCCTTATAGAGATGGGTGTCCCGCCCAGCATAGTTGGACATCTACCGCGACCTTCCTAAAGAGCAAAAAGACAATCTCATCATATCCCCCACCTTGTGCAATATGCATCCCCAGCGTAATGTGGAAAGAAGGAAGGACTGGGTAGGGATGCTCCTACGTCGGGCGACAAAACTAGAAGCTGCTTTGTTGACACGGCCCGATATGGCAACAGCAATTGTTTTGCAGCACTATATATCAACCACATGGGTTTGACCAATAATGCCGTTTTAATACGATGCTCGTTGTTGTGTGGGCCGAGCAAGTGGTCATTGCCTTGGTGCTTCTAGATGACAAACATGAGCATATAATCAGGGACTCCAGGGAAATGATCCGTGCCTCCAGCTTTGGTGCCGTTTGTAAAGAAGCCTATCACACACTGGAGGGCAAAAACATCACAACCCACACTCTCACGTGGTTCCCCACTCACACGGGATCAATCAGGGAAGGCCCCACAAACCTGAATGAGCTGGCCTGCTCCAAGGTGCGAGGTCTCACTTTCCACGACCATGGAGAACTCCCCTGCCGGCCCGCAGCTGTGGTAAACAGAGATCATCGGACCGCTTATAACTTTTAGCACTTTCATCTCGGCAAGGGAGACATTCCCCTTCCTAACAAGAAGTTAAATCGAGGGCTAGCTTTGATTCTCAGACTACTGCAGACGGCTTCGTATTCCAGCCCGGCTTTATTGCATATAATTTATCCCAACATTTGTCCTAATAGCTCTTGTAAGCACTGCAACGAATTTGCCAGCCTAGACCACATGCTCTAGCATTGCCCCTCGTTACGGGGCATGGAACAATCCAATAAAGACAATTAGCTATCCACTATTAAGAGTCCTAATGTCTGGGATCAACTGCGGGCTGTCCAGAGGGCCTACAATGTGGTGGTTGGGCTTGCTTGGCCTGACTGTCCCAACGTGGGAGCGGCTTGTTGCGCATTAGTTGTGCCCCTCAGGACCCACAATAATGTTTCCCATATTTTCACATATATGTAGTAAACAAATTTACAGTAAAAACAACAGGCGTTATTTGGGGTGCAAGACCTCTTTGGGGTTGGTAGGTCCTTGACATTGTAGCTTCAGCACCTCATGACATGGCATCAGTTGATAGAAAAGAACCTCCCCTTTTCACTGCCCAAACACACACTCTCAGAATCGTTCAACTCGACAATCTGATCACTCCGCAGTGCCTATTTCTTTGTTGCTACAGCTCTGACCATTTGGGTCCCAATTGCCCGTGCACCCATGCAAATTTAGAACACATCGTTTTTACAGACCCTACAATTTCCTCATTATCCTAACCCACCACCTCTCTACTGGCAGGTGCGGTTGGCATTGGCGGCTGTTGCCGACCAATTTACCATGCTCCTGCTCTCTGAGGAATGTCTGTAGGTCTTAGTTTGACCTCCATTAAATTCATTTCTATCTCAGATAAGAAAAAAAAAAATGAATGGATGCTGATGGAATTTAGTCGAGATCAAGAGTGCTCATTTGACACGAGGACAAGATTTATTACTAAATTACACTGTGTAGAGTGAGAACATTCTCATTAGCTAGTAGGAAAAAATATAGTTTGGCTGCTTGCAACATCAATTGTCACAGCCGTAATTATTTTAAGTGAATGAACTGTGTTGTGACTTTTCAAGCGATTCCATTTTCACAACCTGAGTATAACATTTTTCAGTTGTCCAGTGAAGATATGTGCAAGGAGTTTTCATTAACGTTAAACTGGTGAGTGGTTTGTTCATTTCCTCAGCCCTTGATAGCAATGAATGCTTATTGGCACACCTACTTTGCTGTAGGCATGCAACAATTCGCGATCACGCCATTGGTCTTTTATTGAAAGTATTCTGGCTAATATATGCTGCTTTAGCTGCCTAGTTTTGTGGGAATCATGACAAATGAGTGAAAAGCATAAAATGGCATTGCTGTATATCTGTTGTTAGTTAGCCCTCTATGAATTCCTGCAGCACTTCATCATTTTTTTATTCCTAATTACCGTGCAAAAATGTGTAGTGCCTCATTTGTCTCTACTCCTTGTTTTTAAAATCTTCCTTCACTTCTCTCATTTTGAAGTAATAAATTAGCATTTACATCACGCCTATTCACTGCTACATGTACACAACTGTAGAGATAACACAATGTACCATGAGACAATGGCTGGGATTTAGACCCACAGGCATAGGGTTCTGAATTTCACTGAACATGATGTGCCTCAAGGCCTGATGTATTTCATGTCCTTACAATTTACATGTTTTCTCACAGGGCAAGGGGCCACGTACGAGCGTTTGCCTGGCACCCGCAGTGCCCCAAGTTTGCTGTGGCATCACACGGTGACATGATTCGCGTGTATGCACCCAACATGAGCATTACGCCTGTGCTGAAGCACAGGTCTCAGAGGAACATCACCGACATGGCTTGGAAGTATGCTGATCCTATGCAGCTTTTGTGCAGTTCACTTGTCTTTTATACTACAGCCCAGCTGAAATTTTTTGGTTTGTTTATTGACAACATTTTATTTCGCTTTTGGTGCAATGTGTTGGTTACCACAGAACAAGCTAGAAGAGTGCACTGCACAAAGATGTGCAAATGGGCAAAGCCTTATAGACAAAAAAAAAAGGACAGCGTATCAAGAAATGAAGTAAAGAAAACAGCATTAGTAAATGACACAATGATATCAAGTTTATTGGTGTACTTGGAAATATGCAGCATGTAGTGTATTTCTCACTTACTTTTAAATGTGTTCCTAACTACATGAATTTCTTCACACATAATTGGCTCTCTCTCTATGCTCTTGTACTAATTTTACTCTCTAAGAAACTGTGTTTTAGTTCTTACGATTGCAGCTACATTGTCATTGAGGAGGAACACAAAATGCCTACAAAATTTCAGGGCATTTAAAAGAAAGATTGCTGGTTTAAACAGCCCTTATCCTTCACTTTATGCCCCTGTTACTTAGGCAAGTTAACTGTGACCAACCAAAGTTAACTGTGTTGAACCGTGGTTAGCGCCATCTATGGTTAGCTGATGTTACACAGCGCAGAAACGTCTTTGGTTAACGTGGTCGACTCATCCTCCATGTACAATGCCATTCCCTCAGTTGACCACCGCATGGAAGTTGCCAAGCTCGGTTTCCTAAAACCGCGATTAGCGCCATGTGGTTTACGCTGCTTGTGTAACAAAGGTATTAAACAGCCTTAAGCTTTGCTTTGGTGGCTTTCCACTCATTGTTCTTTGTATTGCCATGGATTGGCATAGCTGTTTTTGCTTTGGATAGCACATTTACTTGCTTTTCAATAAAACAGTAAAAGGGCCGTGCAACACTTTTTGAGTATGGTCAGAAAATGCTGCTGATCAGTTGTCAAGGCTCCCGAGAACCCGCAAGTGAAACATTATAGCGCAACACATTGCCTAGAATTCACGGTTAATTCTCGAAGTCGGCTAGAAATCGCTCCCAGTTCTCTCTACAAATGATGCCATATATCCAATGGCTTTGCCATATACCCAAGTTTACGGCCATTACCTTATTTGAGCATCACTGGCTGCATAGGCCTTTTGGCTGCTGCAGGATACCACCACATGCCCGCGTGCTTGCTCGGGATCATTATAAAAGTAAGCCGTGCTGCCTGCGTGTTTGTAGAAACAAATCACATTCAGTAGCACTGACAGTTGGGCGAGCTGGTGTGAGTTTATAACGGCACAAAGAACATGGGACACAAAACCATGAGAACACGAGAATGGGCGCCATACTCGCCAGATTTGCAAGTTTGGCGCCCGTCCTCGTGTTTTCATCGTTTTCTGTCCTGTGTTTTTTGCGCCGTTTTTAACTATGAAGAAACAAAGGACATGAAACAACTCAAGGTCATGTCGCTTGCTGACGAAGAGACGCATCTACTTGCCCCCGTGTCATTTCCCTTCCTGCGTAACGTTCAATGTGCTTACTAGTACAGAGCACAGAGAAAGCACAGAGAAAATGCTGGAAGTGGGCTGCAAATTCCTGTAAATCTGCTTGTACACGACGGATTCCAAAAACTTTTGCAGCATGTGACTCGTGAAGAACCATGTGCTCAAACTGATTATATTCCATTGTAACTCAGTAAGCGTATCAGGGCCTCTTTAAGGCATTTTAGCCAAATTGAATGTATTTAAAAAATAAGTCTAGCTTTCATTCTTGCCATATAGTATGAGATGTTCTCAGCCCCTATAGTTCTCTTGTAAGATACTTTAGGTTACTGTTTCAATAACTTGGCAGATTAGTACAGCTATTCGTACTTTATGCAGTAAGGCTAGATATTTTTCTAAATAATGATGTATTATACAGTTTTTCATACATCTGGTGAATACATGTATGGCTCAGCAGACTTGTGAAACAAACAAAAGTGCATCATTGCCTGCCTTTGTTCTAGACTGTGTGGTTGGTGCTCTTAGACCTAGTTAGACTTCTTGTGATTTACTGCTCACATTTGCACCTAGAATTCCAGCAGAGTGACATGCTTTCTCTACAATGTTTTCCTAACAGTCATTGGAGCTTGACAGCAGGAACAAAATTGTTTTTAGAAATTTTTAGCAGTGAGTACATCATACAAACAAAGGTGTTTAGTCTTCGTTTTCTTTTTTTTTTTTCATTTTTGAAGTTCTCTAAAAAGACTTATAATATCTGCACATTGAGGTCATTGGTAGCTTGTTGATATGCTAAAATGTAATACTGGAGATGTTATTTAGTTTCTGGGGTTGCACCATTGTTTTCAGGCCTTACAGCTCTGCAGTTCTGGCTGTTGCTTGCCAAGAGGGGGTCCTTCTCTGGCAAGTGGAACCGACCTCTCTTATAGCAAGGTCAGTCACTTCAAATTCGTGCTGCTATGGGTGATATATGTATAAGTAAACTCTGAAAAGTGGAGTTGTGCTCAGAAGTACACACAAAGTTATAAAACAACTGGCATTAGGGTTGTGGGTGTTCACCAATGGTAGTTCTCATAACTGTGTCAATGTCTGTGACCAGAAGCCATATTTCATAGCAACTTGCCTTGTTTATCATTTTTTTTTCTTTTGCACCAAGCCGTTCTATTGCACCATGCCGGTTAATCTGGAATTTGTAGATATTGGTGTGTAAGCCAGCGTTGAAGGCAAGAACAATAATTTAAAGAGAAATTAGTCATTAGAAATTCAACAGCAAGAGAAAATATGCAAAAATGTCGATCTAGCATGTGCTTGTACTGAAACATTGAGATTAGGATACAAATTGATATGGTTCCAGTGCCTGATAGCCCTAATTAAGTTCATTTTTCTATTATATTGTACAAACATGCATGTTCTCAAAAAAGCCTGATGCAGCTAGAGGGCGTAAGGACATGCTTAGCAAGTATTGGGTGCAAGTTCGAGGTCATCAAAACAAACACAGTACTACTGTAAAATCCGGAGCAAGTGCCCCCCTTTTCATGAAAGATAATCAGGCGAGATTTGGAGGGGGCACAAAAGCCTTTAAGAAGAATTCATACCTGTGCTTCTGATAAAATGCTCTATTGAATACGTGTGCATCTACCATTTTTACTGAACCGGAGGGATCCCTCGTGGGAAATTTTATTTGTTATAACAAGGGGAAAAAACCTTCTTTAAATGTTCCAACAATTTGTGACAAACTAGAATGTAACCTGACCTGAGGCACAACACCCTTAAAGCACTAATAAATTGTGCACATATCTATAGACTCCAAGAACCTGGGTTTCTGAGAACAGCTGCTGCAAGATTACGTGCAGAGAACAGGCTAAGAAGGGAGGGTAGGGGGAGGGCACTTACTCCGTCATTGGCGCATACCTCAAATATCCAGGAAATAAAAGGGGGTGCTTGCTCTAGTCGGAACTCTTGCTCGGGATTTTACGGTAGGGTATTGCTTGTAGCCCTTACGGAAGAAGGCAATTTCGAGGGCTTGTTTCTTTGTATGATACAACCTTAATGAATGTTGTAGCCCTTATGTTCTTTTGGCACATAATTCCAGTCAGTCAATTCGTTGGTCTGCCTTCATTAAAAAATGCCATCTTAAAAAGGCACGAGCATTGTGGCAAGATCAAAGGTTTACCTTATAGGCCTCTAATTTACTTATGTTGCTTTTCTGTGTTATTTATTAACAGGCCCTCTTCAGCATATGCATCACTCCTCTCTCGAGAGGGGCACAACCCAGTCAGCAGCATTGCGTGGCATCCTAAAGGAACACTCCTAGCATCAGCTTCTGCAGCTGACTGCTCACTTCTTGTGAGTAGTTCCTTCATGTAACTTTTTATTATTTCTACTCTATGTGAATATTGCGCAGCATGTTGTGAAGGCATCTCTCACCAATTTTACCGGCTGCATGTAGCAAGCCCGACTCAATTTTGAGTCTGTGTGGAGACCAAGTGCAACAATTCTCATGTAACTAAGATAACTGCATTTTAGAAAACATGAGGTGGTTAAAGTTAATTGGCCTTTCTTAGTACTGTTATTTGCAGCCGAAATGTACTTAGCTTTGAGGTATTAAATCAATAAGTTACCAATTGCAGTTGTTCATGGCCTACATAAGTTAAGTACAAAGAATGGGGTAAGCGTCGGGCTCCTTGCTGCCTTAAAATGTTAAAAGGATGCTAAAGGAAAAAGTCAATATTTAAATTACCACACAGCACTATAGAGATCACTCTTACTGTAAGATGATGTTTCCTAGGTATAGGCCAGAAAATGTGCGTAAGGACTGAAGGTGGTGTCATTTTGTAGTTTGCACAGTAATTCACCTTGACAGCATGGATTTTAGATGTGCTCGCGGGGGCCTTATTCTGCATAAATAAAAGTGGACCACACCATGTCACAAAGAAGCCAGTGAGATGCAGGCATAATTTGTGCGCTTTTATTTTCTGATGTCATCCAAATAGGAAACATATACACCTATTCCTTGTTTGCTTGTTTGTAAACAGGAGTAGGCGCCGTCGACTTACTGAGTCGTGGCACGCAGGCTTTGCCCATTTCAAAGCTGGTCACCGCCCTCTGTAATCACGTGACAACTGGTACAGCAGGTGCAAATGTGCACTCACGCGGGAGGCTTCTTGATGCGCTGTGGTCGGTGGCATTTTCTGCCACTCAAACTGCTATATATTTATTGTCACTGCCAGCTGCAAGATGAATGCAGCATATTTGTGTCAACCTTCTATGTGAAAATTCTTGTGGTGCTGGTAGAGCTCAGCCATATCGATTTTTTTCAATTTGTTGTTGATTTTTATGCATTGTTGTTGCGACTGGAAATGTAAGGATTGGCCTGTAAAGGGGATCTCACTTGAAACATGGTGTTCTGTGAACTTTACTTCTGCTCATCAAGAGTTCATGTATGGTAGTATGTATTTGAAAATGCTGCATCATTTGCTTCCTCTACAGATTTGGAATATTGCTATGGAAGAGTGTGTTCCATTGACTCACATATCTGGTGGAGGAGTCTCTCTCATTCGGTGGTCACCTGATGGCTGCCGACTCCTCGCAGCGTCACCACAGAGCCTCTTCAGGTAAGGGTTATGCTTTTTGCGTAGCCAATTTCAAGGACCAGTAAACAATCTCGCAATCAAACATTTTTTATGTAGAAATAATGGTGCACTTGTATAATGTGAGCATGCTTCCGCAAGAACTTTGCGAATTAGTGCTACATAAAGAAGTTAACGTGCGCAGAACGATTTGCCCTGGCCAGTTTCAGTCGCGTTTTTTTCGCATCTTTGTGAAGTGTGCATTAGCTCTTTGTCACAACTGTGCCCACTTCATCAATTTAGCACGACTGCAGCAGTTACATCATGGGCATGCACCCAACGGCCAAACAAGGCTTCCTTCACATGCATGTGTGTCATAGCGGTGTGAGGAGGAAGTGTGGTGTGTGGAGTACGAGGCACTGGTACGGTATGCATTGGGTGTGCACCCCTTTCCCTACTGATAGATTAGAGGATACTTCTTCGTTTCGGAGGCTTTCGTTTTGGCAATGACACTTGTCCTGGTAGTCTCGGGCTTTACAAAACGGCAGGGGGCAGCACAGGAAAGTGAAAATGTGGCCTGCGCGGCAAAAACTGCATCAATGCAGGACCAAGGCACCGTTTCTTAGTGCAAGGGATCAATCGATAAGCTCAGTGGTTTGTAATGCTGCCCACAGGCAAGATTTTGTCACTGGTCAAGGGGGGAGATCGGACAGGATTAAGGATGAAGGTTTAAGGTTTAAGGATGAAATAAAGAGTCTGTGTAGCGCACAGTGTTGTAATATTGGCAAAACGTGATCATCACGGTTTGCTGCACAAATCAGCAAGCTTGCTTGCGGGGTGTACAAAAAAAAAACGTCTGAGCCTGTTTACTAACTCTTTAAGTGATCTCTATTAATCATTTCACTTGTGAAATTGAAAAAACGATTTCAGTGAAACGAGCTTTTTATATTTATGGCATGTCAAGCATGATGACTTGGTGGCGATAACATTACTGTACTGCTCATCATGAGGTTAAAAGCTCAATTGCATGCCTTTTGCTTCATTTCATCAGGCTGGTATCAAAAATGCTTGGTCTGCTGAGCATTGGGTCGTAGCTAAGGGGTAGCGGCTCTTCAGAGCAAAACATTGCAAAAGAAATGTATTTGTGGAAATTGTTATTTTTGGATGAGAAATGAGACGTATTGTAAATTGTGTCAGGTCCTGTCTGTAGCTCATCTTCAGCCTGTGTGTGGTATTATTGGGCGTTCATTTCCTCGTCCCATGTTTTCAAAAGGATCTGTGCATTTTGTATGTGATCTGCATGAATTTCTGTTGCCTGCTGGCAACCATGTTCTGCTAGATGGGCACATGTTATTTCAGTAATAACTGCAGTTTCACACGATATTCCAGGGTATGGCATACAAACCAGTGGCAGTTTGACAAGTGGTCAACTCAACAGGGCCGCTGCCGGGCGGCCTGTTGGAGCCCCGATGGTCGCTGGCTGCTGTGTTGCTTTTCCGACAAGCCTCACCTGTACGCGCTGAACTTCCCACCTCCAGTCACAGCCTCTGTTGACGAGGATGAAGGCGAGTCATCCGCTTGGTCCCCACACCCAGACGCTACCTTTGGGACAGGCCTACCTGTTGCTGACCTCACCGAGGTGGACTTACCGCTGCACTCTGGTGCTGGTGAAGGAATTAGGTATGCAGTTTGTGTTTTTGCTGCGACAGCAAGTCCTGACAATCGAGCACAATACCTGATGCATCTCAAATATTTGTTGCATTTAAGATAAAGCTTTTCTCTCTTTCAGTATAGTGCTAATGTTTAGTATAGTTGTCTTATTTCGAAGTTTGAACCATATTTAGATGCTGTAGTTTAGTGTAACTTGACTTGAAATAAGCAATGGTATGGTGTGTTATGGTGTCTTGTGAAATAGTTATCGTATATGCAGCAGTTTTGTGAGCTAAATGTTCCTTGACATTTACTCACTCACAAATATTCAACATAAGCGAATTTTTGCTCGAAGGGGTTCAAATTTTATTAATTTTCGTTTTGCTTTACACAGTTTACTTTCCAGATTATTATGATGTGCTCATTTTCTTTGTAGCTTCTTTAGTTTAAGAAAACAAAGAGCTGATAAAATATTTTGTTTTATTAACTCCATGTTGTGCTATGAAAATAATTGGATATTTAAAGTCAACACATAAAGGTGCACAAACTTAGCAAGTTTAATTAAGACTTATCAAAAATCAAAAGCAAAAAAATTGAGAAAGAAGTGTTGTCTCTTAACAGAACACCTAAAGTAAATGAAACAGTGACGTGGTTTAAATTTATAAACTATTTATTGTCGTAAGTTTCACAATTATAAGTTCACTTCTAGAGGAGAAATTAAGGTTAAATTTTCATTTCTCAATTTCGTGCCGAAATCTCCGTGCGTGATGTCAAAAATTTAAAAATGTACAGCGTTTTTTGTATTTTCGCAACATTGGCTAGATAAAATTTTCTGAAACTTCACATGCTAGTTCTACGGCCCCCACAGATTAGAATGTACTTCACTTTTACCAATTAAAGACTACGAAGGACTTGGTAGATGCTGTCAAAATCAATGACGCCACTTTGTTTGGTGTGGGAATATTAAGGCGGCATTTGCACCAGCATTTTCTTTCCGCATGGTCTCTCGGGTACAAAACATCATCCTGTGGTAAGAGGAGTCTTTTCAGGAATTGTTACATTACAGTTTACTAATACGCGAAAAATTTTTTGCCTCTTAACGTAGAAATTTGTGCTAGGGCTCATTTTTTATTGCATGAGATAATTTTACTCGTGAAATAATTGTGAGCTCAATTATAGTCTTCTCATAAGGTATACTTTCTTTTTTGTTTTCGTTTGTAAGGCTGACGGGTTCTCTACAGAGAACTATGACCAGATTCCCCCTGTCCCCCTTTTTTCTCCTCTCTTCTTCTCTCTCTCTCTTTTGCTTTGTAGGCAAAGCATAGAGCAATTCTTCATTTCAGTTTGTTGTGTAGGAAGGCACTCCATAACTTTCCACGCCATAGCATCACTAAGAGTGTGGTGGGTCAAATGGAAATAATGGGTCGACCAGCCTTGGCTGTCTTTCTGCCGCATAGTTATCGGTATTTTATTCAGCATGGTTCATGGATTGAACTGAAATCCAAACATGCTCAGTTATTACACATCATAGGACTGCCTGATATAGCATCTAATTGAGCAGAAATGGTAAGTGGACTTAGATGACTGGGGTGTCTGGTTTCTCTAATGCATGTGGCTTATCAAAATTAATCACTACCGTAATGTACAGGATCCGTCGAAAATTTCCAGACCACACTGCCATAGGAATTTATGCAATAGTGGCCTGGGAACTTTTGATGGACACTTTACCTCCGTGTTTACGTGCTGGTTAAATTTGCAACGTCAAGGTCTGCTTTGATGAAGGTTTCCTGCACTGAAGTCAGAGGTAATCATTATAATAACAAATTTAGTAGTACTTTGGGCAACCTTCTACTTGTGTGACTTGTTGACTTGTTTGATGAACATATCGTAGCGGTGCAAAACTCAAAAATAAAAGAAAAGAAAAAAAGGAAAGAAACTGCAGAAGGAGGGGAAAGAAAAAAAAAATGAAGTGGTGTGTAATTTGATTCTCTTTCATTATCAAGCTATTTGTACCCCTCAATAACAAAATCACCATGGAAGTGATCTTTGTCTGTTTCACAAGAATTTCGTTATTGTAAAAGTATTAAAAGAAACGCACACAAATTACTTTTCACAACCAGATTTTATTTGAAGAAGCCGCTCGTCTTGTTCTGTTTCATGTTGGTTTGAAGGAGCTTCGTGGCTTGAGCCTGGCATTTTAATTACCGTTGCATAGCTTCATCATCATCCTGCACTCCAAGGAAAGTGCGAATGAGGAAAAAAGCATCAACAACTTCGCACAAACTTACTTTCCTTTCTTGTGCGCTGTTCCTTTTCTTACTCTCATCATCCTCCTCACATTCTTTACACATACTTTCAGTGATAGCATCGATAGTGCATGGCATCAAGCAGTTAGGTAGTCAACAGAATGTCTGTTGGCATGATGTCGCTTTTGTAGGCATTGCCGCCTCAAACGTCATTTTTCAGCATAGTTTTCAACAAAGGATAGCAAAAACATTTTCTCGGTGAAAAAAATTGTTGCTGCCATCGTCATCCTCATCATCATCATCAGCCTGACTACGTCCACTGCAGGACAAAGGCCTCTCCTATGTTTTGCCAGTTAACCCGGTCCTGTGCTTGCTGCTGCCAATTTATACCCACAAACTTCTTAATCTTATCTGCCCACCTAACCTTCTGTCTCCCTCTAACTCGCTTGCCTTCTTTGGGAATCCAGTTAGTTACCCTTAATGACCAGCGGTTATCCTGTCTACGTGCTACATGCCTGGCCCATGTCTATTTTCTCTTTTTGATTTCAACTATGATATCCTTAACCCCCGTTTGTTCCCTAATCCACTCTGCTCTCTTGTTGTCTCTTAAGGTTACACCTACCATTTTTCTTTCCATTGCTCGCTGCGTCGTCCTCAATTTAAGCTGAACCCTCTTTGTAATTCTCCAGATTTCTGCTCCGTAGCTAAGTACTGGCAAGATACAGGTGTTATATACCTTCCTCTATATACCTTCCTTCCTAAAACCTTCCTAAAAAAAAATATTGCAAATTGCTACCTGGAACTTTTGTTTTTGTGGGAGTTCTTTTTAAAGTCTCTTTGCTTGCATTGAATTTAATGGATACACGCTGGGTACGCAGGATTTCTTCGTTGTCGGGAGAATTTTATTCTTAGGGGCTTTCATTATTGAGGGGTTTAACTGCATTATCGTTAGATTTAGGTCCTTGAAGCAAGTGGTCAATTCATGTTCTCACTTTCTTTCATGTAGCTTCCAAATGCTTATATATTGTCAACTGCACGTGATCATACATAAAGCAAAAATGACAGATTTTATCCTATTTGCTGTCTACATCAAAGAGAATTTTCAGATGCTGTTTATTATTAGAATTATTGAGTTTTCGGACACGCTTGATATTTTGGACACAAAGCCAAGTTTTTTGGGGTGTTCGAATCCTTGACCATCTGATTTTTTTACAGTGCAATACTGAAATAAGAGTAATTGATGCCATCACTACCGTATTTACTCGATTCTACCGCGCCCTAGATTGTAACGCGCACCCGATTTCCACCGCGGAAAAAAAAAAAACGTAAGACGTCGATTGCAACGCGCATGCATTTTTTTCGCTGGCCCGCACGATCACACCACTCGAAAAAACGACTCTTTTCGGGAGCGTCTTCCACTTAAATATGAGGTAAGGGCGAAGCTTGTGCCCATCGGACGTGTAACAGAGCATTGCCGTCACTGTAGTTTTACCGTGGACCGATGTCAGCACGCAAACTTGCTTCGCCCCCTTCTTCTCGACGGTTGTGCCAGGCTTGTGGAAGTAAAGAGGCGTCTGATCGGCATTCCCGATTTGCCCAAGCAGGTAGCCGTTGTTGCGCCGCAAGTTTAGGACGAACCTCTGAAAACTGTGAAGCTTTTCATCGTACTCCTCCGCAAAACCTTTCGCATATGCATGTTCCCCTTCGGAGGGAAAAGCCTTTCCTCTTCATAAAGTTAGTTAGCCAGCACCTGCTCGCTTTAAACTGGCTCCGCATTAGACCTTTTTCTAAGACTAATTGCATAGCCGGCACTTGAAGCAGTTCTGTCGTCATGGGCCGCTGTGCCTCTCACTGCTCAAGCACATACTCGCCGAGCAGCTCTTTAATTTGCGGAAACCGACCCTGCTGTGGTCCACTGAAGCCTTTGTGTGAAGCTTTGCTGTCGACAATCTTCTGCTTTTGTTTCTGCCGGTCCCGCACGCACGTTTCGGGAACTCCAAACGACCGCGATGCGGCCTGATTTCGTCCGTTTTTGCACACGCGATGACTTTTCTTTTAAAAGCGGCATCGTGGTGCACTCGAGTTTTTGGAGTCGGCCCTTCCTCGCCGTCGATGCTAATGCAGTACTAGATGACGAACTCCTCAGCACACGTACGAAGTGCCGCACATGGGGAACACATAGGCAGAAATGGCCGACGCGCCATGCCGACGCACGTAGGTGGCGGCCATTTTGGATTTGCCAATGGCAATAGATTGACCGTAACTTTTTTGTTCGTACTCGATTCTAACGTGCATGCGATTTATGAACTCGCTTAACTGGAAAAAAGGTGCGCGTTATATTCGAGTAATTACAATATATCTATGCTTGTTGGTTAAAGTTTGATGTACTGAAGAACACATAGACAACGAGGCCTCTATTTTGTAGCTGTGCCTTATGCCTTATTCTATGCAACCCTATCGTCTACCACTCATGTCCTGCCAATTTCTTTGATTATGTGTTTAGACCGTTACTCCCAGCCACTGGCTGAGTGTGTGGAAAGGTATCGCTCCAAAATACCAGACCAAGCCATGACAATATTCTCGCTTCGCTGTCATTACCTAGTACTCTATCAAATGCATAGCTTAGTATTCCATCCAGTTTGTGAAATTTCAGATAAGCATATATTTATTTTTGAACTATTGATATATTCCACCACTGAGCAGTTTTCTTAGAGTTAAATATATCTGGATTTTGGCTGTATTCGATTCATATTTAATTCACTTTGGAAACTCTTGAATTTGCATTCAGTTCACTTTTAGAAACTAGTATTCACACATGCATAATTGTAGATAACATTTGCTTTCAACAGGGTTGGAGGACTTGTGCAGAACATGGCTTGGGACAAACATGGAGAGCGCTTGGCCATTTCTTTCAGGGGTAAGCCTTTTTAGCTTTTTTGTGTGTGTTTTGCTGCTTAGCTACTCTGTGTTTACCGCTTTTTAACAGTGAGCTTAATTACTATTAGAATTACTATTGTTATCAAAATAATAGATGTTGTTTTTTGTTCTTAATTGAGTCTATGCTTGCCTGCACGCTTTTCCTTCTTTTATAATGGATCTTTAGCAACTATCTCAACCTTCTTTCATGCTGTATAACATGTGGACTTTCGATGTTTTCTATGTATTACCAAAACCTCCGGCTCTCTTATTGGTTGTTCTGCAGATCACAGCGAGTACGTTGCTCTGTTCAGGACCAAGACATCCCCTGTCTTTCAAATGTTCCCATGGTGAGTCAAGACTACTAATATCGTAGCGCAAAGTTCCAGCAATATTTTCAACTTGGCAAGTTTGTATGACTGCTTCACGGCACAAAAATGAGCAACAGCCTTTTGTCAGTGTAGGTTTCTCACTTGGAGTGAGCGAACGTCTGTGAATTGTTAAAATCTGATCAGTTCTCTGACTCAGCTTCCGGTGTATTGGACTGCATCCACCAGTCTAGCAACTGAAAGGATGATACATGTATGGATCAAAGTTTGGTCTTCTTTAATTGAATAGTGTGGTTTAGTTACTAGGGGTGTACAAATAGTGAAACATACAACCAAATTGAATATGTATATGTTGAATATTACTTGAATATTTTTCAAATAGTAAAACAACAATAATTAATGCAAGCCTAGAATTTCAAAGCTCGTTATTTCAAACAAATAACCACAATCTTTAACAAAGAAGCATTAACTTTAGATTTAACCAATAAAAGATGTCACTTTTATGTAAACTTAAGTTAAGTAACCTCGCATACAGTAGCCATCATAATATTTTTTCATTGTAAGATGACTGCAGCAGTTGAGTACTTCAATATACGAGGTGGTATTTTGTCACCAGCTTTTAAATATTGCCAAGGCTTAACGATTAAGTACTTTTTCATTAATTAACAGCATGAATATTATGATAACAAATTGAGGACACATTCGCTTCGGCGACATTGTAGTCTTTGTCTAGGCAAAAATTACTTCATTCAATGATGTGTAAAGCTTCAATAGACTCGTGAAAGCTTGAAGTGCATGCATTTTGGCTAATCACTCGTTAAAAAAAAAGCAAAAAAAAGGACGATTTCTTCATTTAACATGCTGTTGCTTTGGAGTCTTTCCATCGGGGTTAATTATTCTAAAAGTATTAGAAAAACATTAAGTAATTTGAATATGTGCTATTTGAATACCAAATCGAATACAATGCTATTCAATTTCTTATTCAAATTTTCCTATACTCACACACCCTTAATTGTTACCCTAGAAAGAAGTGCTGCCCATGCTGTGGTAACCTCTTTGCTGGGACGCCTCTATTTTAAGGGGGGAGGCTACCTTCGAAGGGCAACTTTTTTGTTTGTTGAGATATCTTAATGAAATTTTCAGGGTACACTAATAGCAAAGCCATTTGAATAACCACAAAGTTTCATGCAGTTATGTTCACTGGTTCCCAAGTTACAGCCATTTATCAGGGTAGTCCACATGGGTCCCTTAGTCAGGGTCTGGAGAATTTGAAAAATGTGCTAGCACTGTGAAATTCACTATGATGATTCCTGGATAGGTGCTTTAGGGCAAGACAGAGCCCTTTTTTAAAATTTCTTTGCCAAAAAATGTTAGCAGAGCACTGAATTTAGTGTTCACAATTTGGCTCTCATCAATGAAGTTTTAGTTAATTATTACAAATTACAGACACAATAAATTGAAAAAGCGGGCTTGTCTTGCCCTGGGCAATTTATTAAGGTGCATAATAAAAAAAAACCTGATAGAAATCAGACCAGCAGTTCCAGAGAGATCACCTGACTAAGCAGCCTCACTGGCCAAAAAAGTCATTCTGAGAAAATTGACTTCGAAAGTTTCAAACATTTATTATGGTCTAAAATGACCCTGCAGAGTAGCTAGATGTGTCCTTAGGCTCTCTTTTTCTTTGCCGCTTTTCCTGCTTCTCATTCATCCGTTTCTGAGCCTTTCTCAGACGCAGAGAGTCTTTCTCCGCAGCTCGTTGAATGGTTAGGTGGCCAGGTGTGAGTCCCACTGATGACGACAACTCTTGGGTGGCTTTGTAGCAGCCGGCATTATACCGCAAAACTGCGTCATGCAGTGCTGTCTCGACAGCAATCAATGATGCATGTTGCTCCTTGGGCATCAAGGACCATAGGACAGAATGGAATGACTCCGATGCATTTTGCGTCTTTGCTCCCAGGCAGCGTTGCAGTAGAGAAGCCTGCGAAAGGCGCTGGTAGACTGGCAGCAGCGCTTCTGCAACGTAGCCCGGAAGATTGTATTTGTGCTTTGGAGGTGGCACGCCATTCCCCTTGCAGGCATTATGACGGCACCACGAGTCTGCACCTTCCGGGCACAAGTCATGGTGAGGATCCTCGTCAGTTGAGGTGACGTGATAATATGACGCCATCACTGCACGCTGCATTGCAGCCACATTGTTTGAATTGTTCCGCAGTGCCCAGCCATAATAGTCTGTGAGTTTATCAATAAGGGCTTTTGTCAATCTGCCCTTCCCTCCCAGAGCCTGTTCGCTTTTCTGCACAAGATTACGTAGGGCTGTGCCCATCCTCTTCCGGACATGGTTCAAGCATTCTTCTTTCACAATAGGGACTAGCCCATAAACATTGTCTTGTTGAAGGGCAGAGAATGTGGCGCTGTCCCCATTAGATACAATGGTTGTATACCGGAGGTTATGCTTGGACAGTGAACGTGAGAACAGAGTTACAGCTGCTTCAACCTCCATCCTCCCAGACTTGGCATCAGTGTTTTTTGGCACACATGGTGCTTCAACCAGCTTGCATAGCCCTCGTCTTCAGGCTTCGGTCCTACCTGGCAGCCGAGACACTGATTCGATAAAACTACAGCATCCAAGATGAGGCCTGTGTGATACTCGATGATTGCACCAACTCCAATGTGAGATGTATGTCCGCGCTTATGCCACGTGCCATCATAGTTCACTGTAATGTCCTTGCAGAAAGATGGGTCCATCTCCTTGTACACCTTTTTCACAGCAGAAGCCGATTCTTCATAGAATTTATCCAGGGTCTGTTGCTGTGGTTCTCTGAATTGCTTCAGGTGCCTCTGGAAAGTTCTGTGGTGCAGGCCACGGTGGGAAACATTCATAGTTGCCCAAAAGTCGTTGAGGGCTGTCTGTCCCTTCCCTATTTGTTTCATGGCCGTAATGGCTCTTATATTCATGTCGAAGGCCCTTGACTCGTTCTGACGAGCAGAGCTCCACGAACTTGAAACTATTCCACAATGTGGACATACCAGCTCAAGCTTCGTGGCAAGTCCAAGCTGGGTGCCTCCTTGAACTTTCATTTCGGTCGCGAGGCAGCGCGGGCACAATGTCTTGGACAGCATGTCGCTAAGGGCATCCCCTTGCACGAGGAAATATCTCTCGCCTTCGGTCGTCGCGGTGGCAGCTTCGGGTTCAGGCATCATCGCTTGAAACTTCCTCTCGGTCGCTGGCATAGCGCCAAGCTTTCGTTGCACATCAGCACGTTCTCTCTCCGCCGTCGCCAACTCCTCGCACGTCCGAAAACGTGTTTGGAAGTGCACAGTCGACGACGCGGTCTCACTGTTCGGGGCCGGAATCAATGCGGTTGGCGAGCGCGACACACCAGGCGCACTTGAGCACGAAACACCAGCCTCACTCGTCAGGACGGATCCTTGTGCCGATGGTGTAGAAGTCTCGTCGCTAGAAGCGTCGACGCAATCGTCTTGAAAAGATGAAGCGGAAGCATCGGTGCAACTGTCGCCGCGCGTGGGCGTGCAGGTGAGCGTCGTCATGCGTACGAGCTTCAGCTGACGCTTTTTTGAACCGAACACGTGCCGAGTCTTGAACTTCGAAATGCCCATCGTGACCGTCAGCGCAACAATCCGCGTCCCGTGTACACGGCGGAAGATCGTCTCGTGAGGACGGTAGTGATCGTCTCGTAAAGACGGTAGAAGATCGTCTCGTGAAGACGGTTGAAGATCGTCTCGTGAAGACGGTAGAAGATCAACTCGTGAAGACGATGAAAGATAGAGGAGCACGTGTGACGACCGATCGGAATGATGGCAAACGGGGCACACAAAGAACGCCGGCATTGCAAGCGCCGGTGCAGACGACGAGCCGGCGCATGCCGGAGAAGCAGCTACGTCATCGCGCGCAGCAGCCAATAGGAGCCGCGCGTTCCCCCATTCCCTCGAGAGGCGCGCGCTTTGTCCAATCGCGGCTTCGCATCCAGGCAGCGGGACATTCGAAAGCTTCCGCGAGCCTCCCAATCGTGAGCGACTCCCGCCTCGGAGCGCCACCGCCACTGCCGCGGATGGCGAAAAAAAAAAAAGCGCAAGAATTCACGAGCAAAACAACATCAAGATGGCGGCGATCGGCCGAGCGGTTGGGAAACGGCGAGCGCGCGAAGTTGGGGTATTTTTGGCGCTCGCTCGCCGCTTGCCGGCTGCCGCGGGATGTTATAAAATTTATTTGACGTACTTTCGCGATGAATTAGACATTGATATTTACAGTAGAGGCAGTTTATGAGTCATACTGCCCGAGTATGTGGTTTTCAAAAAATCGACTTTTTCGCGATTTTTCGGTTTTCAAAGGGCGCGTCCCTCCTTAAGGCCACTTTGAGCAGGATGATTTACCAAAGCCGAAACAGTCGTATTGGGACAAAAAGGTTGTAGTAGATACTAGTACTGAGACTGGCTAGTGATTCTGGGTCTTTTCACTTGTGGTACCGAATGGCCAAGCTTCAAAAGTGGTAGCAGTAATCGCATTGTGCTTTTTTTTCACTCAGTGGCTTTGTATCTGGTCCTCCTGGTGAGTCGGCTCAGCTGATAAGCTTCTACAATGGCTTTGAAGGTGGCTCACTGCTTACTGTGGTAAGTGTGGTGTTTGCAGGATTACGTTTATGAAGAAGGCTGCGTTATACAGCAGACTGCATCCTCTCTTTAGGCCCTCAGAATTTATTTTCAGGAAAGCTGCAGGTATATAATACACAAATTCAGAATGTCTGATAACTGTGACACGTCAAGTGCACTCGCTGCTTATTGGTGTCGAACGCTCTCTAACCAAGCTGTACTTAGTTGCACCTCAGGCTATTCATATCGCCCTTAAAAACCGTGCCGGGCACTGTGAATTACGTTGCGACAGCATTCAACTGTAGTTGTCTTTGATTGTCTCCGCAATGCAAAAACACATGTTCATATTGTAGTGGGAATATTGAGTTTCATAACTGAGTGCTATTTCCTATTTGTTGTTTCATTACTATTTGTTGCAAGTTTTTTTAATGTTTAGTGCTTTTAATTTGCAACATTTTTAGTATGTAATACAAGTGCTCCGAGCATGTGTTATTTATGACTATCTTTCTTTACTAGGCTTGTGTGAATAGTCTATTTTAGGTTATAAGCAAATAGTGATTTTGTCCTGATGATTTCGAATAGAATATGAATACTAGTATATACGACATATACAAAAAGGGGCATATTTATCATGACCTAACTAACCTGCACATTGTTTTTTAAAAATTGAAATAGGGCCTCATGCAAATGTCCTTTTTTTTCATTTAAAAGAAATCGAAACAACTTGGAGTAGTAGCAGGATTTGACTTTCGGCAGGATGCGAGTCATAACTCATAAAATAAGTAACATTTTTAAAATTTATTATACTTAGCACATATTGTACTTAGCGCATATCATAAGAAGCTTGTAAGCGTAATAAAATGAATTCATTTGAGGGGCATATTTTCATTTAAAAGGGACCTGCAACACTTTCTTTGTCAAGTAGCCATGGAATCAATTCACTAAAGAAGTTTATTGCCTCATGAATTGACCGCCACAAAAATTTTTAGAATCCGTCCAGTACGAGCGGAATTTCAAAGATTTGTCGCACGCTGCAAGTACATTCTCTCTTCTCGGGAGAAGGAATGGCGCGGGGAAAAAACATACATCATGCGTGCTTTCTGAGCTTATAGGGTCATTTGCTGAGGGAAGGGAGCAGTTTTTAGCGGACTTTGAGAATTTATTGTCAATTGCAGACCGCGTGCTGCGCTATAATATTTGGCTCGTGTGCCCTCAGTAGGCTCGACTACCGATCAGCTACGTTTTCTGGCAATGCTCAAAAAGTGTTGCAGGGCCCCTTTATACTCGCGACAGAGCGAATCTCTGGTGGGTAGGAGTTTTCACAGCTCAGTATCCCCACACTGCTGTGAAACCATCTTGACAGGTGGTACATTTGGGTTAATATGCACGTATTCGTTCCTTGTGAATACTTCGAAATATTCAATCGTTTAAATGTGAGTCTAAGCGAATGCGTATACCCTACTATTCCTTTGAATATTCGAAGCATTGAAATATTCGCACAAGCCTACTCTTTACTACAACCACTTCACTTTTTTATAATAGGAATTCGGGAACTTTGTCGAAGTGCTACTATGGCTTTCGTCCCGTCCGAGCCTTTTTGACGGGGTCCCTTTTTTGACAGGGTCCCGCCCGCTGCTTTTTGAGATCCAGTAATATCAATTAAGAAATCGGAGCATAACCAGAGGGTGGCACCCCGGCATGCGCTCTTTCCGAAATTTCCTTCTGTCATGGGGCACAGAGCACAAAATTAAGTTCAACCACCCTCGCCTGCCCTGCCTTAAATGCATATTGAGTAGTTTGCACTAGCATCTTGTCTGCTGCCTAGTTATATTGGTGTGTTTTATCACATGCCCTTTCTGGCAGCTGTCACCTTTAAGTTGAGATATCAATGTGAGCCTATGAATGCAATATTATGCATGCTTCCCCATCTTTTTGTATTGGAGTTAGACATGACACACAGGGGGATTCAGAGGCAGTGGCATTATTTTGCAGTTTTTGTTCGTAAATCTTCCAATTGCAAATTCAATAACAGTGGTACGAGAAGCTTTATATGGCATTAACCCTTTGGGACACAGTGTACTCATTTGAAGGCAGGACTTACTTTTGCCATTTCTGTGCACTGTCGCCAGGGAAGAGACTGTAAACACTGAGCTCATGGTAAATAAGGATTTCTTGTTGCCAAAAGTTCCTTTATATCACTCCTAATTGAAATATTTTGCTATACACAATTGCTTTGTTGAAGATAGTACTACTTTTTGTTTAACGAGCCGTTAGACATGGGCGGTTACGGCAGGATATGTTTTATTCCATTTTAGGAATGCTTGCTGTCAGCAGACAACTTAATTATCGTGTGCAATTTCAATGGCCCTTGAATTCATTTAATGAAGAAGTAAAGCACTACTAACAGTAAAATAGATTTATGTTTAATTCCACTGTGATTGCAATTGATTGCTGTAAAGTACAATATAATTGTTTTTAACACTTCCACTTGCAATTGATTGCTGCAAAATGCACTATAATTGGTTCCAACACTTCCACTTGCTTGAAATTTTGTCTCTAAAACCTTTGGATGAAATTCTCTTTTTCATGCATTTATAGACATTTGATCAAGTGCATGTCACAAAGGGGTAAATGGGCACTCAAAGCCAAGTACGCGTAGCAATGAAGGCTCCGATATTCACCTTTCTTATCATTTTTACCCTTCAATATATTTACGATATTCACCTTTCTTATCATTTTTATCCTGATCAGCTGTAAGGGACGAGTAACGCTCATCACTTTCATTGCCTTTACATGTTCCCTTATTTCAGTGCTGGAGCAATGGACTGGTGAGTCATGTGCCACTCTGTTACTGCCCCATCTCACCTTGCGACTCGTCAGGCACAGCAGCCAGCCTTCCCTTTACATCGCTCAGGCCACCACATTTGTACAGCACGTGAGCAGACAGGAGGTGAGCGGTGTCACCCTTAGTGTGTAAGATTAAATAGCTCATCACACTCGATATAAACTGGAAAGAAAAGACACACCAAAAAACTGCTGCTTTTATGGCGAGACTTATTCAGCTTTAGACACTGAGTTGGTATGCAATCATTGCATTTTATGATGTAAAAAAAAAAAACAGTACATACTGTTAGCAAGTAAAGTCAGACCTCAGTATTACAAACCTCTATTTAATGAAATCCATAGTGTAATGAACTATTTGTATTTCTCTATCGTGGCTACATTTACAGCACTGTATATATATTGTTTAGGAATTCGACAACGTAACCTCGGGCAGTACATTCAATTTAACGAACACTTTTGTGCATCACATGCACACACCTGGAATTTTTGTGACATACTTTACTAAACACTGGGCGAAAGAAATTGTACCTTTCCCAAGCGTTCTTTCACGTTGAATTGTTGCCAGAGGGCAACATGAAACTTCTCTGCCATCGCAGTCTATCTCGCTGATGTGGCATTTGCTCTGCCTGTGCACCATTCATGCTCACAATGTGTTTGTTTGTCTAGCATACATACCAATTTTACTGTGCCTGAGATTCATTGCAATAAAGTTTCAATGAATTTTGTGAATTGTTTTCTTTTTTTGCTTTGTGACTTATATAACAGTCATGACAAGTATAATTTAAAAAATGAAAGAGATATATAAATGATTGAAATACATCGAATGGTCGAATTCCTAGCAACCTTCATGCGACAGCACTGAATTTTCACAAGCTTAAATGAGCAACTGTCAAATGGAAAAAGCCTGTGCAACGCGCTCAAAATTCTTGGCTTTGCGTAGGAAGGCGACACATAATGTGCATAGTCACACAGCAAGTCTGTTGAACTATACTACTAGAACATTAGCTACTTGAAGTCAATTAATTCTAAAGTATTGCAACCATTTTTACCTTACGAGGACTCCTGAATGTTCCATAGCGTATGTTTATTTTACTTGTAATGATTTTTTAAAGTTACTTTCTCTTTCTTTTTTATGATATGCAGCCAAACAAAAACCACTGTATGCACTCTGGTTTTTTATAGTTAGCTGTGGAATGCTCCTCGCCTTCATTTATGACACATTTCTTTTTTCTAATATATATCTATCATACTTTGAAACAGTCAAGGCTGGATAATTGGTTCTGGTATGTGAGTAATCTATCCAAATGCATAGGGCACATCAGTAAGCTTACCCTTGGTAACATTTTTCTGCCCGTGTTTTGCTCCGAAGAAAAGCAGAGGCTCAGGGGAAGGTGGAAGCTTGAAGGGACGAAAACTTTGTGAATATTGTGTGTCACTAGAGCCAGCGTTTCGACAAGCGGGCTTGGCTACTTTGAGGTCCTTGAAGACAAGTCCACTTGTCGAAACTTCAGCACTAGCGACACCCTGTTTTCAGGAACCTATTAACAGCGATAGCGTTAAAGAGCTTGTTTTGCAGAAATTACGGCATCGGTGTCATTAGTTGTGAGCGAAAAATCATCTTTGCATGACCAAGAGAACCAGAAAGATGTTAATAAAATAAATAATAAAAAATTCTGGCCGTGAGTGGGAATCGAACCTGGGTCGTTCCCACGGCAAGCGGGTGTTCTACCGCACAGTAATGCCTCTGCTTGTGAATATAATGAAAATAACCTATTTTGCTTGGAAATGCAGTAGAAAGCATAACTTTCATGCTTTACAAACACACACGGTCTGTATACATGCTTCACAGTACAACATGAAAAATTGCCGTAAGAACGCGTGGTACAAGCGTACATTGCCATCAGGCATAAGAATGACTTCATCGTTTAAAGCCAGTCGCCCACTACAAAAGGCACACACGCTACTGCACCCTTAAGGCCACATAGTGGGTGCATAGCAAGTTCGAAAAGATTTCATACTCCGTGTTTGAAGTAGGCACTAGGAGCACAACATTGCTGTCACATTCAACTCTTATAGGAGAAGCTTAAGGGTCCCCCAATTTTTTCTTTGCATGTTGTGTGCGTATGTGTTCATGTTACCTGTAAACTGTGTATTCTCATTATCTTTCCATTTTTTTCAGGAGCTGCTCGTGGACCAATGACAAATACAGCATGCCTTATTCATTTGGGCTAACCACCTTCTCTTTAAAATTGTTTAGCTTTTATATACATTATTATCAAATCAGTGAATTCTGTATACTAAATACACTCACTTCGCTAGTGAGGGTGCTAAATACGAAACATAGGTTTACACAATTTACTGAAACTGAACTCTGATAAAGCCAATTTCCAAGCAAAAAAATGTTTTAATGTTAAACAAAGTAAATGTAACAAAAACATAATAAATATTTGTGTTGTAAGAATGGTTTGCAATGTGCTATGAATCATAAGGTTACTGGTGTAAATACTGGCAGAGAAGTCTGAAAGGAGAAGCAAAGTGACAAGAGGAACTGTTATAAAAGAAAGCAATAAAAGAATTTCATAAGATAGAGCTTTCTGAATAGCTTCCTGTAGATTATGGAAATTCTGGCAAAAAGCTGTGTTGTTATGGTACATGCATGTAATGTGTAGTATTAGCTCATGCTTTTGTTAAAGATCCAGTCACAGTCATAAAGGCACTCTGTAGAACACCAAGGTTTATAAGTGCGTAAAAGTAGTGCAGGTGTGTATAGGACGTGTGTCTCGTCACGGTGTCATCATTTTGTGTACAATTTCGTGGTCACGAGATGTTTAGAGGCCTGGAAAGGGGGCGAAGGAAGTGGATGCTTCCTGGTTGGAAAAAAAAAAAAGGAGCCCAATAGGAAAGCAATATATGGAGATGCTTCATAATACACCAGAGGTGTTCTTGCTCTGCATTAATTATGAGCTCCTATTTTGGCCGGCTTTTTTACTGTCTTAGATGATTCTTTGACTTATGCAAATTGTCTTCTTGAAGTTAATCGCTACTGTGTTCTTGCTGCCAACTTTGTTATTCGTTAAGTGTCAATCTTATTATGTACATTCAACCATCATACATGAAGCTTTTTACTTTTTGCGAGCAGATATTGGGAATATGGTTAGAATCTGTGAGATGGTGCGAAGTATGAGTTTAATGGCACAGGAAGACATGTCATTTTCAGATAAAAGCACATTGCGTATTGCATCATAAATAAACATACAATTTTTATTCAAGTAATGTAATTTGGTTCAGTTTATATCCTAGTAGCCTAATGGTAATATTTTTTTATATTTCTTGCATTGTTTGTAAATGGGACAGGGACATAGCAAGACAGATGTCTGCTTCTAGAGGTTTCTGGGAAATGCACAGAATGTCTAACATATAAGGTTTAGTATTTTGAATTTAAGACATGCAGCAATGTGATAGCTGCGCCGATAGCCAAACTGTGCCAAGTGGTAAAGCCTGCTCCATCCTGCAATATTTCAGCAGATATCTCACTAATTTGCACCAAGACGTCACTTTAGCAGACTTTTGATGAAAAAGCAATATGACAGGCACTCGATATAATTAAATGATCAATCAAACTGTACGGGTGTAAGGTTTCTTCCAGCAGGCCAATTCCGCTACTTCTCGGCAAGACACAACCCTTGCGATCGAAGCGCGGCAGCTGATTGCTTCCACAACTAAAAAAATAGTTGAGGTCACCGTTTGCTCGGCTCATGTAAATATAGAGCAAGCACTCATTGGTGCAGGCTCGTGTGTATCCTGACATGGCCACTGGCTTCTAAAGTTGTACAGAATCAATTAAGCAGTAATTCTGTATGCTAATGTTTTCTTTTGGAAGGATTTGGGTGGGGTGAAAGCTGTCCTTCACGCGGGTGAACGGACCATTGAATTACTGATTTCTGCATTTTGTACACACTGCCCTCAAATTAGCACCTTAACAATTCTCTTCATGAAGCAAGGAGCATTTAGGTAAGCATACAACGTAGACCTAGGCTGTGCTTAAAGCACGAACATCATCAAAATAGTTTTTTTTTTTTCTGAAGTACAAGAAGTTGCATAAAATAATTATGCAGCTTGCGCTTCCGTGCAGTAACTAAAGCATCATAGAAAGCCTCATTTAATTTCATGTATGAACTGTATTGCGGGCAAATCTGACTTGACAGGTGTTCACAGGAGTGGAGAAATTGAGGGTTAGGAGCAAAAAAATAAATAATAAAAAAGTGTTTTAGGTTCATTTCATCGTCTGAAGTTATAATAATAAGCATTCATGTGTGCTGATATACATTTTAGGCATGGTACATTCAGGGTCAAAGTACTAGTTCCCTTAAATGGGCCTTGCAACTCTTTTTCAGCATGTTCAGAAAATGCTGCCAATCGGTAGTCAAGGCTCCCGAGAACATGCGAGCCAAATAATATAGCGCAGCACAAGACCTGGAATTTACAATAAAATCTCAAAGTCAGCTAAATGTCGTTTCTCTTCGCTCTACCAATGATGCTTCATACTTAAAAATTGGTGCTTCATAGGACAAAGTAGCACTCTATTCACTTGTTCGAGCATGGCACACTCTGGAGTTACTGGGGCCACAAGGGGAGCCCACAACCTGTACATCTACGCTATTGCACTGAAAAGCTGTGCATTTAAAGAAAAAAAAAAAGAGAGTGCTTATGGTCAAGCGGCACATAGGACATACCTTCTTCCCCCATGCCATCTGTCCCTGCTTAGCTTCCAGCGCTTTCGTTAGGATGAGAGAAGAAGGAATGCAATGTCAATGGTGACAAATATTTGTAAGTCTGCTTGTAGTGGACAGATTTTAAAAATTTTGTGAGGTTTAATTTGTGATGCAATAAGCTCCTGTACTGAATTCATTTAATGGCTACTTGGAAAAGTGCTGCAGGGCCCCTTTAAATCAGTTGTCTGTTGTCTTGTTGGCTATTTGAGAATATTAAGATATAAAAATTTCCTATGGCACCTGCACAGCTATTTGAATGCTGCGCTGAAATTCCGGTTAGCTGGCTCGGTGTTCCAGCTGTACTGGCTCTGGTCACCATCCTTAGGGATGATGCACTGAAAGCAAACTAGTCGACTGAACATTGAAATTGTGGAGCAATGCACTAAGTGAATATTTCTTTCGAGCTCACACTTTTGCAATCTTCAAGCTAGTTACATGTCCTGTGCATTTTTTCAAATGATGACACTAGTAGAAATTATCAGGAGCTACTGTGTAATGTCATTTGAAAAAATATTTCATGCAGTAAGAAATCACAAACTATATGTTGCATGGTTATGAAATTTCCTTTAATTTTCTATAGATAATTACATGCAAACTGAAAGAAGTAAACATGGAACAGTTTTTGTACACATTTTACATCATGAGGTGAAGAAAGGTGTATAGGGCCTAGTCTCACATATTTAAATACCTGGTATGAATGATGTTAACTTTGAAGTGTCACCACGCAAAAGGCTTGTTTACCTAAGAACTTTTCACCAAGCTTACCTAATTGGTTTTATTGTTTTATAACTGGCGTCTTGTTCTGCTGCCCCCTTTGGTGAAAGTTATAAGGCTTACGTAACGTAGTTAAAAATTGACCCGACACTGTATTCAGTTGGTGAATCTCGCTTCAAACTCGGGATAAGAGCCTTTTTAAGTCACGGCAAAAAATCATATAATTTTTTTAGCATGTAACATTCTGAAATTTAATTCAATAGTTTATAACATGTCCATATTGCGATTTTATGAGTACTGTTGATCGTCAGAAGAAAATAGCACCCAGTTTGTCAAGTTTTCTGCTCAAGTATATTATCTACCTTATGAGAATTGAATTATCCAGCTTGAAAAATTGCAATTGCCTTTCTCTGCAGCAGCTGTGGTATGGCAACCTACACTGCACAAAAAATTGTTGAGTTTGGCATTGTGTGTTGACAGTGAAAATGTTGTAGCAAGATGAAGGTATTATTGTACTAGGGCAATATTAAAGGTGCACTAGTTTTGTCTAGGGCATAGTTCTGGATGGTCGCTATGAAGACAAAACGAAAATATAGGCACGTCGCTCATGTTAGGTAGTGCAATAAGTGGCGAAGAGTTGGCTGAGTGCACTACAGGACTCACTGTTGTCTAAGCATATTTCTCCTTGATGGCGTACTCTAGCCGTATGTCCAGATAACGTCCAATGAAGCCACCCATGAGTGCCCCTGCCCAGTAGACTGTGAAGTGCTCGGTAGTTGTGCTTCCGGCACAGCCGAGCATAAGTGCTGACGCCATGATGGGATTGAAGTAACCACCAGTTGTTGTCAGAGCTGCATGGACAGGCAACCGAGTTAAATTCTGGCAAACAATGTTGTGACGACTATCTGCCTAACAATGTAAACACAGTGCTCACACTCGTGTGCCAAATGGCGCCAAATTAGATTTGAGCCTAAATGCGCTCCCGCGCCCATATGCGCCAAGACGTTGCCTCCAAGACTACATGCGCAGTCGGATTTCGGAAGTCATGGCCAAAATTAGCGACAGCGTGGAAAGCGTGCGGCAGTAGTGGTCTGCAGACGTGCGACACCTGTTTCATGAAATGGCTTAATGAATTTCTCTCTCCATTATCTAAATTTGCGTGCTGCTCGAGACGTTTTCGAACCGCACGGTCTCTATGGTTGTTTGCCGTATGGTGGCCCATCGTTGCTGCCACGAAGGAAAGGAAAACTTGGTGGAACTTTGAGCATCGCCATCAAGAGTAAACCGTGATAGCGTAATCGGGCCTCTTGCCCGTCGTCTTCCCAACCGCTTGCCTGGCTTCGGTTCTCGGTGGACGCGTCAACCGTGCCGCAAGGAAACGAGCGTCTGTGCGCATGATATCACCGTTTCAAACTTTCCTAGAATACCGTATTTACTCTCGTAATGAACGCACTCGCATATTAAACGCACCCCCAACTTCAGTCGTCAAAATTCGGATTTTTTTCCCCTCTTGTCATAAACGTACCCCCTGCATTCATCCGCTGCAGTCCCGCTAACCGACACCTGGCGCCTGCTTGCCCGTTGGGTCTCTGCCGTTTTTTATTATTATACCGACCTCCCCCCCTAGGGCACCTCGACTCGCTCCCTCTCCATTTCGGCCGCTGATGCGCGCCGTATTGTTTTTCTTTTTATCTGTTTGCCACAGCGGGGTTCACGAACGTTGCGAGTGTGAGACATCGCAGCTGATGAGCACACAGCGAGCGAAGGTCACTAAACTGCCCACACCAACGGACCGTCGCTTCTTGCAAATACGAAACTTTAAGGCCCAACCACATGCACGCGATTTTTGAGCGACGACGACAGGATTTGTTGTCGCCGACGGTCATGGCTGTCGCGAAGGGCCATTTGTGACCATCGCGTCGCAGGTTTCTGGAAAACCAGATAAAAATCGCTTGTCGCCTAGAAAAGATTGTGACTATTTCCGCAACATGATAGCACCCTCGATTCTCGCTTCGGTTGCAATTTGCTCTTCATGCTTGCTATCTGCGCGTACTTCAAGGAACGCACTTCTCACGTGGACAACGAAGCGGCGGTCGTATTTTGTCGTCAATCTCTTTATCGACAGTTTGTTTTGGTGCTTCAGTGGTTGCTTGCTACAATGTCAAACGGCGCCGTCACGGTCGTTGTGCGTACGAGGTTGCCACGAAGTTGGCGATGTGCGTCGTAGCGCACGCTTCTGGGCGCCCCTCGAGATCGCAGCAGATACAACGGGGGGGGGGGGGGGGGGGTTAAACGATAGCGAGAAAAGATAGCCGCGAAAAGCTTTTATGGCGTGTGCGGGCGGCGTGGGGACAGCTTGCAGAAGATAGCGACATCCAACCACCGAAGACGAGTGACGCGCAACAGAGGAGCTCTTTCCAAACAATGTACACGTATGTAAATTGCGAAAGGCTTAGCGACCTAACTTTTTCTTTTTCCATTACCGCGTTTTTTGCCCTCCCGAAAAAGTTTTCATATATTTGCCCTGCGTAATAAACGCACCCCCAACTTGCCGGCGATTTTTCGAGGAAGAAAAAAAACTATAGACCATCTCTCCGAAGGGAACCCTGGTAGGATGCGAAGCAGCAGTGGTGCGCACAGCGTTGACCCGGTTAAAAGGGGCATCGACGCGGGTGCTGGAACAACGGTTTGAAGCGAAGCTCGGTGTAGCGTTTACTCGAGTAAAGGTTTGTTTGAAACGCTAAGACACGGGAGGCGGGACGCGTTGAAGACGCTTGCACCGGGCTTCCTTGGCTCGTGTCTCGTCGGTGTTACCCGCGCGCCGTCTAGATTCTCGAACGCGATCGTGTTCTTGACTCGCGCCTCGTCGGTGTCGCTGGTCTTCCACTGCGGACGCTTGCGTTCGGCTTCCCTGGCTCGCGCCTCGTCAGTGTTGACGTCGCCATTCGCGAACGCGGTCGGCTTCGCTGACCCTCGCAATGCCGGCGACAGCCGGAAAATGCCGCGATGGCGTCCCGCGCATCGGCGTGATCGCGCGGCAAGCAGCGGCGCACTGTTGACATGGTCGGTGCAGCGAGATTCTCGAGGCGCGTGCCATGGCGTGAGTACCGCGCGCACCCGCAGCAGAGTTGCCAGGTGCCGCCGAGCAAACAAGCAATTATAGTCATCCCAAAACAAGCCCCAAAAAAGCGGCGGTGCTTCTCCGAATAAGTCCAAAACAAGCGGAAGTTAAACAAATGTTCTTATTTCTGAAATTCTGTTGTAGTACGGAAGAAAATGCTATGGATACTTCTGGAAGTTCTACAACTAATTTCCATAATGAGAATAGATGCATGAATAAAGGCATGCATTTTTCTAGCTTCACACTCATCGTTTCCGACATCTGTCAGATTAGGATAATTCATGGTATTCACGTCCGCAGAAGCATAAGTGTTTTTTTTTTTTTTGCGTTGAATAGTTCCATCATTTGCGCTTGGTTGAAAGCCTCGGCAGTGAACTCCACGAACTTCAAGGCTGTAGCGAACGTGGAAGATGACGCTCAGCAGGAGGATGCATGTAGATTTATTATCGGCTTCGGTGACTGAACGTAATCAGTCCTTTAGCTGCGGTTCCTTTCCCACTCTATACAATACTTCTTGCCGTAATTTCACCACTTCGAAGCCATATATTGCAATACACTACGACGGCACGGGGACACAAGGAACACACCTGACCTGCGCAGACTGGCAACTGATCGTTATTCACTAAGAAACCGTCAAATATACTTTTTTTTTCGCCCCTCATGAACGCTGCGCATGGGCAAATCGGCATCGTGCAATCGTTCAGATAAAACCTTACCGTAGAAGGTGTAATCTCATATTATAAGGACATCATGTCTCATAAGGACATATGCGTCAGTCCCTCTTCGGTTTTGCTGAATGATTAAGAAACTGAATTGTTGAACAAGCTATGAGTTTCTACGGTGAAGGTCTTATCAGTTTATGTGAATGAATGTAGGATGCCGATTCGCTCATGCTCAGTGTTCACAAGGTGCGCAAAATATATTTTGTGATTTGTTAGTGAATAACGATCAGTTGTTAGTGTGCGCTGGTCCAGCGTGTTCCTTTCTTGTGTGTCCTCGTGTGTGCGCGCTAAAGTTCCAATGTGATAGAATCGCCGACTGGGGTAGGGAAGCGTAGTTTCGCCGTGTTTGATAACGAATTGCGTGCTGGGCGATGCAACATTTTCCGAAAAAGCAAATGTAAGCCCTCCCCCCAAAAAAACAGAAAATTGCAAGCGTTTTGGTGAAGAAACAAGCCCAAATCAGTTTATAATAAGCTGAACTAGCAACATCAACCCGCCGGATCGCGGCTTTTGTTCGCCGACAGATGGAGAGAGGTGGCGCGGGTGAGATGATGCCCACGTCAGTGGGCTCAAGCAACGCCGACTAAATTTCAAGGCCGAAAGGCTGCCGCAGTGACGTCAGAGGTTGGGGGCCCAGTTGCCCAACTGAGCATGTTCAGTAAGACTTTTTTTTCCACATCTTTTATTCGGCCCAATCTAGCCGCAGCAGCTGCGAGAGCGGGAGCGTTGGTTCTCCTAAAACGTGAACGAAACACAGGCTTTCCGCCGCGTTCGCGGCGTAACTGGGCCCCCACCCTCTGACGTCACTGCGGCAGCCTTTCGGCCTTGAAATTTAGTCGGTGTTGGCTCAAGGGTTGCGAGTGGTAGAGAGGGTGAAGCGAGAGAGCCGACCGGCGGCGAGCGCGCGGCAGGCAAGGGAGAGAGACGTCACCGCGCACTGCTAGGATGGCGTGAGCTACTTGGCACCGCTCCAACACCTGCGGCGAGGGAAGCCGTGTTGATGGAAGGACGGCGTTACACAGGCTAGTCTAATACCCGTGACACACGGGCAAAAGTAAAGTACTTTGAAGTAAACCCCTTTTGTCGCCTAAGGGGACCATTTGCAGAAAGGAGTGGCGCAGATGACACACGACATCGGACTACTGCTTTAGGCGGTGCCTCAGAAGAACGCTGCAGAAAAAATGGCGTTGTTTGTGGAAGCAGCAATATTGGAAATATTAAAAAGAATCTGCGCATGTACATCACATTCAGCGACGCCTGAGCATAAAACCGTTTTTTTTTTTATTGTCTGGTGGCTTATAATGCGTATACCTGTAATTTTCTTTCGCTTTTTTGCGTTTTTAGCAGCAACTTAAGTTCGTCTGGCAACTATGAACAGTCGGTGTGCTGCTGTTTTTGCTTTTTGTCATGCTTTTTACATGGCTGCGTCCAGCTGGGTCAGTAACGGCGTGCCGCGTTTCATCGTGGTCCTGCGATGTCTCCGCGCAGAGACAGAGATAAAGCAACAGTTGAGGTGGGCCTGACTCTTGTCGCCCTCGGCTCCATCGAAGATGAGCTAAACGCTGCGAAGGCAATTTTGCTGTGAATTTGCGCCCGTGTACGGGGAATACCGGCGTCGGTGAGGCTCTCGGCAATCGCCTGGTACACTCCACCGCTGTGCTTTTGCCTTTGCAAGGCGTCCAAACGGTCATCCCATAGCTTTATCAGCGCCCAGGTCTCCTTTTCAGTCCACTGGACGCGCGGTTTTTTCTTCAGCGACTGAGCCGACTCCACTGTTACAAGATACTACGTCACCGACACACAGAATACCTACCAGTTGACCGACACAGCAACTGCGCTGCCAACCCTAACATGATCGCGCTAGTGACGTAATGCAGGCGTTTGGGAGTATGGACAGACTATAGGCCTTCACTTTTCAACAAATCGCACTGCTGCTGAAAATGAAAACATTTTCTCAGCGCAAAAAAATACTGACAGGGCACCACAGTGTTGCGACACGTTTTCTTCTATTGATAAATTATGCACACTGTATGCGAGAGTACTCCCATCCTGCCAGAAAAGTAGATGCGGGATCTGCTTTTGCGAAAAGGATCTTTGCCGGAAAGGAGTTACTCCTTTGACGTGTGTCACTGCGCCCGAACGCCTTTCCGAAAGATGTCCCCTTGTCTAAAGGACTTCAGGGTGCCCGTGTGTCAGGGGCATAAGAAAAAAAGCGCACGCTGAAATTTTGCGTGCTCTGCTTTCTGCTGCGGAATAGCCGGGCGCGCTAGGCGATACAGGGTGTTTTTGCTGGGGTAGAGAAAACCTGGGGAGCGCGCTGATTGGGACGGCTGGACAGAAACATGGCCCGCGCCCACCATCTCGGAGACCATGGTATGGACATAAATGTTCTCTGGTGTGCATCGCTCCTTGCGTCATCCGCTAGTCGCAGCGTGCTCGCATGTGTGCACACGTCATGAGCGTCCTCCTAAAGTAGCTTGTTCTGGCATTTTAGCAAAGTGTCAAATTCTTGTGCGTATGCCTATACATTACACACAAGCACTTCACCTACGCACGTGTGCCCTCTGAATGAGTGCATGCACGCGTCGGCGGGGCGCGAGGTGTAATCATCGTATACTGTCTATGAAGTAAAATCATTTCTATGTGGGTGCTACTTTGTCGTTAAAGCACACGTAGTGCATTTGCCGCCATCCAATATAAAAGTAATACTAAATTACGAGGTGTGAAGTCAGAATTTGTATGGCAGACCATGAGTTAAACCTAAAGCAAAAAAAAAAAAAAAACTGACGGCGTGTCAATGAAGTGAATGCTGATAGAGCTCCTATTGTATAATATGCTATTGTATAATATCACATATCTGTTTTATAAGTACGGCTGAAATAAAGTCCTATTCTGTGTCTCGAAACACGCATAACCAAAGTGGCATAGTGCTCTAGGCTCACATTTTTATGATTCGTCCTGAAACACAAGTGCTCCCCTGCACCAGACATGCATCTTGAAAGTAGGGGCTACATATATACTCTGAAAGTCGTTCAAGTACTGTAGCGTAGGGTACTCGTTAGGCTACCTATTCTTTGTTTTTATGACGCACCACGCTCTTAAAAAAAGGTCGGCATATTCACTAAATAAATGCTTACCGTTCACATGTCACAAAATGCACTAGCCTCTTATTAATTGAGGGTAGTAAAATGCAGGTTATCAAAATTTACTACATAGTAAGTGAAAAGTGCTGAATCGAATGTTTAGCCCATTAATAAATTGTTAGTGACCCCGCAAATAGATGTTTACACCTGTTTTGTTACATATGTGTGTGTGCGTTGCCTTATTAGTATGATGCTATTACAAAAGTATAAGAAAAAGAAAACGAAATGGCATTGTCCTCGTACATCAAAGGGGCCCTGAAACACTTTTTCCAAGTAACCTTGGAATGAATTCACTGGAAGAGCTTATTTTCTTATAAATTCAACACTGCAAAAATTTTAAGAATTTGTCCAGTGCGTGTGCGGTTACAAAAGTTTGTTGCACGCTGTAAAATTGCATTCTTTCTTCTCTCGTCCCGACGAAAGCGCTGGAAGCTAAGCAGGGAGGGATGGCAGGGGCAAAGAAAATATGTCACGCTCACCTCGTGACCTTGAACACTTTTTCTTTTCTTTTTCTTCGAATGCGCAGATTTTTCAGTCTGATTGCGCGCGCGCGCGTGGACAAGTCACGGCCTCCCGCGGTGAACTCTGTAACGACCGAGCTCGCCATGTTCAAACTAGCGAAGGCTGATAATAGATGGGCTTTCTACAAGTGATTTTTGAGCGTCTTCCATCATTAACCGAGAGAATAGAAAACTATTTTTAGCTGACTTTGATCATATATTATGGATTCAAGGCCGCGTGCTGCGCTATAATATTTGGCTCGTGTGTTGTCGGGAGCCTCTACTACCGATGGGCAGCGTTTTCTGACCATGCTCGAAAAGTGTGGCAGGGCCCCTTTTATTAATGGCTGCTAGCTACTTCATGTAACTGTACCGGGTTAAGCGCTCATTACAGCAACATAGTGATAGAGATCTGATCATATATACACATGGTCACATGAATATACAATCATATGATCACATCATATATATATATGATGTATTCATACGATCATATACTGTCATATGATCATGCCCCTATGTAATATGAATATGAGAACTCATATGAACAGGATCATGGGTATGAGAACTCGTGAATGGATCACAAGTGAGAACAAATTGCGAAACGTACACACAAAACTTCAAGACTTCGACATAGCAAATTTCTACTGTAGCAGCAGCTTGAAGGCTATATATGCCTCTACATTGCGAGTACATACCGCGTACTGATTAGCAGCCATAAAATTTAGAAAAATAATTAATGTTTTCTGCACATCATCATGCGCCCTTCTATTTGTTTTTACATGTGCCACTACGTATCACGCAACCTATATTCCAAGGTAGTCAATAAAATTAAAGCTTGCCGGAATTTTGTTTACGAGTGTCGCCATCCCGGCGAAATATACTGTTGCGTCGACGTTAGATCTGGCAACGTAGGGGGCTGAGTAGTTACATAGTTAAAAACGCTAAGGAGGTTTCTCTGGTTGGCAAAGGTTACAAGCTGTAATTGCTGCTTGCTATTAAAAATGTGTTGCGAAGGTAGTAAAACACGCTGGAAACAAGTAAGTACACGTGTTTACTGACTGATTATCAGCTTTTTTTCTAAGAGTACACGGAAGGGTATTCGAAGTTGTGTAGTAATGAGACATTATTTGACCAGTATTAACAACGGAGAAATGATGTTGCGAAACGAGCATGGTATTAACGGCTACTTCTTTTTCTTGAAACCTTTAAAGGTTACTACTTATGGTTAATTACGGCGAGGGTAGCAAATGCCAACTGAATGCTGTTAGTAACGGCACAGGTAGTAACAGTTACCACCCTCGACTTTACTAACTGCACTTACTACCAGGGTTGTAACATATGTGGTTAACCATTACTACTCCAAATTAGAACACTATCTTCCTTTTTTTTGGGAGTGCAAAACCCGCCTCGTTGTCGTGCTGCTTTGCGCATAACATTATCTGATTGATATGTGGGGTTTTAATGTCCCAAAACCACCATATGATTATGAGAGACGCCGTAGTGGAGGGCTCCGGAAATTTCGACCACCTGGGGTTCTTTAACCTGTTCCAAAATCTGAGTTCACGGGCCTACAGCATTTCCGCCTCCATCGGGAATGCAGCCGCCGCAGCCGGCATTCGATCCCGCGACCTGCGGGTCAGCAGCCGAGTACCTTAGCCACTATAGACCACCGCGGCGGGGCCACAGAACATTATCTGTAATATAGTTAAATACGCCTCTTAGAATTCGAGCAAACACCAGAATACGTGCTCCGGTGTTCTACAACACCAGAGCAGCCCCGCCGCGGTGGTCTAGTGGCTAAGGTACTCAGCTGCTGACCCGCAGGTCGCGGGATCGAATCCCGGCTGCGGCAGCTGCATTTTTGGTGGAGGCGAAAATGCTTTAGGCCCGTGTGCTCAGATTTGGGTGCACGTTAAAAAACCCCAGGTGGTCGAAATTTCCGGAGCCCTCCACTACAGTGTCTGTCAGCATCATGTATACAGGGGTTGCGGGACGTTAAACCCTACATCTCAATCAATTAGAACATCAGAGCACGTATTCTGTGAGCGAAGCACAAGAGAAAGAAAGCGTGTACCGATTTATGATGATGGTGGTTTTCTGTTCGCTCTGCACACAATGATGGCTGGCTTATATCAGCTCCGCTATTAAAAGAGTCGGCAGGACCAATACAGGGATGGGGTAATTTAGTAAAACGAAAGGGTTTGCTCTATAATAACACGCATAGTCAATATGCATTTCGTTCGAGTCGCATGCTGGTCAACCACCAATTGTTTTGGTCATCCCAATCTATATGTGGACAGTGACTTACCGGCCAGCACCAGAATGACCGTAGTAATGGAGTTGATGGCGGTGGCCACGTTGTCTGTCCAGTAGATGGAGCGCATGGCCACGAACCGGCTGACGCACGTGATCGCGCCCTCGATAAGGGCACCCTTGGTCGGGCTCACCTGCGTCGACCGTCATTAGAAGCTCGTATTATATATGCACGCCGTGGAATCATCGTGCATAAACATTCACCGTGCGTGCCAATTTTTTTTATCGCCAACTGTCGATACGCTCGCGGAATACGGAAAATATCTTCAGCTCGATCTCTACCCCATGATGGTCATCGATCGCAATAGGAGCGCCGTGCGACCGTGGCTCATTCGACGTTTGCACATAGCCTCCTCTAGGAGGCTATGGTTTGCAGCTTACAGTACAGGAGGCCCCCACCGGACAGACTGGCACTGCCGTTGGCGTGACGTATATCGTCAGGGTCAGTTGGGCACAACTGCCGGTTTTCTCCTCGAAAGCTTGAATATATAATTGTGAGGGCTTTGGACCTTACAACTTCCGGGTCCAAAACTTGAATGTGAGCCCCTCTGTGCATAGGGATAGATGTGCAGTTGAAGTGAAGTTTATTTTCATTTCCCACAAAGGGGGAAAGCTGGGGCTAAAAGCTGGAGTGCTTGACAAAGGTGCTCGGCTCCCCTGTACAGCCTGACATAAACAAACAAAAGAACATAATTGCGGAGTTAGCAGTGTTCGCCAGTATAACACAATGCTGAGCACTGTTAAGCATGAGCGTAAACAAGATACAAAGCTATACAAAAAATACAAACTGATACAAAGCACAAATCATATTCAAGTTAATATTTCTTTGTTTGCGTTTTGAATAACTCCAATGCAATATCAAAATGAGCATCCGTCGGCACAGTTACCTGATAATTTAATTTTTTTTGCCATAGTTTGTGCGCGTCATAGGAATCTGGTGGATCATCCAAGTTCACCTACAACTCAAGAGACGGTATACGATTGGGCGTGTTGGTATAACATGATAAAGAGTGCTTACCAGCGCAAACGACAGGACAGGAGGGAACCGGAGTATACTCCGGTTCCCTCCTGTCCTGTCGTTTGCGTTGGTAAGCACTCTTTATCACCTACAACACCCGTAACTCTTGCAAATTCTTATTAATATGGTGCGAGCATTGACCCCTGGACGTGATAGCGCCTAATATATATAGTATATATATATATATATATATATATATATATATATATATATATATATATATATATATATATATATGCGAAAAGTATTGGGATTTCCTACGTGATTGCCGTAGCGTAGAGAGAGAAAGAGTAATCTGATGTTATTCTGATCGTGTAATCGTTGACCGCGTTGCTTCTCGCCGCTGATAGACGCTACCGTAACATGCATGGGGTCGACGCCCTCACGATACTAAAGAAATCTTAGCCGTGGGTGCTGGTTACCCGGGGTGGCCGAATCGACGGACCAATTAGGGTAACTTTCAGGCCCGTATTGCTAAATTGAGGGCAGTCTTCTTATATATCGACTATATTCCTTTCTAACATCCAAACACGACAGAAAGTCAGTGCAAGATGGAGGCTTGAAGTCGCGGAAAATTGTTGAACATGGAATGGCGCTGTTGGCAACGGAATCTCTGGCTTCGGCGGCATTCCATGGTCAACGATTTTTCAACACTTGCTCATGTAAAATAACATTTGGGCAGCAATCTCGACATTAGAATAGTCCTCCAGCAGTTTGTCAATCTTTTTTCGCGATCATGTGGCAAGACTGGAGCTCCCAAAAATATTACTGAAAAAAAAAAAATGCAGAATTTCGCTTCAAAAGATGCGTCGGACGTTTCAATGATGACGAGTTTTGTGAAAGATACAAAATTAACGTGACTAATAGCATCTCGTGGGCTAATTAACTCATTCTTGCGAAACTTACACGAGGTCTTGGGGGAAAAACATCTCTAATCGCAGAGATAGGTATAATAAAAAAATAAATGAACGAGTATATTTAAAGTAATACAGAATTTTTTAGGCAAAATACGTATATTTCCGCAAAAATAGCGGCATTTTCGGGCTTTTTATGTAGCGGAACTAGCACAAGGATGCGGAAAAAGAGCACACTCAGGTACATGTGTGTGCGTCTGTTTTCCTCCTGCGTCCTTCTGCTAACCGCTGTACAAGAAAGGGCTTCGGAATGTTATGCCAAGGAGCTCAAATTTCTACAGTGATGAAATTTCAGACTTCGTGGGGACACTGTGACTCTACGTGTTTGCAGACATGTGTTTTTTATGAAGGGATACCTTAATATTGTGTACTGGCATTATTGTAGTATACGCTTAATATATATATATATATATATATATATAATATATATATATATATATATATATATAATATATATATATATATATATATATAGTTATAAACATCGAGAACAGTGCAGTATAGGAAACAAAACAATAAAATATTTATTTAATCCTAACAGTTTCGACTGGTGGACCAGTCTTCGGAGGATCTAAGTGAAATGGTACAAGTTCCCGTAGCAGAGGGTCACCCTCACAGTTTGAAGTTTGAAGACCCTAAAAAAAAAAAAAAACGGGCGAACGAGGTAGCAACAGACAACAAGAAGCAGAAGAAGGAGAGGAACTAGAAAGGAGTGACGGAGAGCCGCCGGAAACGAGCGGGTAATTCTGGTATTGTTACTGGGTATAGGTAAGACGCGCCGACAGCGGAGGCGACCAAGAAAAACGGAAAAATGTGAAGCATGTTGCCGCTTACTCGCATCCCACACATGGATCGAGTTTAAGTTCACGTGGTTCGGCGGCTGGCCCGTGGCATCGCCCCCCCCCCCCCCCCCCCCACACACACAACAGAAGCATACGACCCGCTCCAGCTTTCGGAAATAATGGCCACGTTGGAAAGCTAATGTGCCCCTCTCCCCCTCCCTCCACCTGCCCTCTCTTGCAGAAAACTGTACAAACCAGTCATACTGAAAATAAATGAATGGGTATTCTTGTAAAGGATGAACAAACAAAAACGTAAACAAAAATACTCAGAAATGAAAATAAAGTCTAATAATACTAACACACGCCGTTTGGTTCACGTAGCATCGAATTCGTTTAGTTTCACGCGCTATATTGACCAACTTACGTGTGCGACTTCACGTATGTATAAATAAATTAATTGAGTAATTCAATTTCTGTGTTTCACGAAACGTCGCGGAGGCACCTCCGTCGCCCAGGGCTCTCGTTGATTCCGTGGGTAAGTGATCTGAAGTTCTTTATGAAGTAAGACTCCCGCTGCTCGCACTCCCGTGTGTTCTGGAAGCCGGATTGTAGGAGTATGACACTTACGCGTTGATATGTTCGGAGAACGGCAAATTGGGGAGGCCCTTTACTTGTGCCCTGTGGTTGTTGAAACGCAAACAGAACGCGGTTTCCGTGTGTCCAATATATTCCTGTTTGCACACCTCACAGCGAATTTTGTATACCACATTGGCTGAGTCACAGTTAAGGTCGTCTTTAATTTTGTACACATAGTCTGAACAGGAGGCTTCGGCCGTATCTGTGGTCACCATGTGTGTGCACACCCTGCAGCGAGGTTTCCCATCCTGGCATTGTTACTGGGTATAGGTAAGACGCGTCGCCTCCGCTGGCGGCGCGTCTTACCTATACCCAGTAACAATGCCAGAATTACCCGCTCGTTTCCGGCGGCTCTCCGTCGCTCCTTTCTAGTTCCTCTCCTTCTTCTGCTTCTTGTTGTCTGTTGCTACCTCTTTCGCCCGTTTTTTTTTTTTTTTAGGGTCTTCAAACTTCAAACTGTGAGGGTGACCCTCTGCTACGGGAACTTGTACCATTTCACTTAGATCCTCCGAAGAAGGCTGGTCCACCAGCCGAAACTGTTAGGATTAAATAAATATTTTATTGTTTTGTTTCCTATACTGCACTGTTCTCGAAGTTTATAACTTTTATTACGGTAGCCGGAAGAAACTCTGATCATCTATTTCATCTATATATATATATATAATATATATATATATATATATATATATATATATATATATATATATATATATATATATATATATATATATATATATATATATATATAATGCGAAAAAGTATTGGGAATTCCTACATGATGCCGTAGCGTGGAGAGAGAAAGAGTAATCTGATGTTATGCTGATCGTGTATTCGTTGACCGCGTAGCTTCTCGCCGCTGATAGACGCTACCGTAACATGCATGGGGTCGACGCTCTCGTGATATTAAAGAAACCTTAGCCGTGGGTGCTGGTTACCCGGGGTGGCCGAATCGACGGACCAGTTAGGGTAACTTTCAGGCCCGTATTCCTAAATTGAGGGCAGTCTTCTTATATATCGACTATATTTCTTTCTAACATCCAAACACGACAGAAGGTCAGTGCAAGATGGAGGCTTGAAGTCGTGGAAAATTGTTGAACATGGAATGGCGCTGTTGGCATCGGAATCTCTGGCTTCGGCGGCATTCCATGGTCAACGATTTTTCAACATTTGCTCATGTAAAACAACATTTGGGCAGCAATCTCGACTTTAGAGTCGCCCTCCAGCAGTTTGGCAACCTTTTTTCGCGATCATGTGGCAACACTGGAGCTCCCAAAAAGTTACTGAAAAAAAAAAATGCAGAATTTCGCTTCAAAAGACGTGTCAGACGTTTCAATGATGACGAGTTTTGTGAAATATTTATTTATTTATTTATTTATTAGAATACCCTCAGGGCCCGTAGGGCATTACAGAGGGGGTGGGTACAACATTTTATAACACACAAAGGAATAAAGACAAGAAAAAAGACAAAGAAAAGAAACAAGTGTCAGATGCGCAAATCACGAAGGCAACATAAATCAACTAAAAATGTATAAGTAAGAATTCAAGCACATACAAGACAAAGATAGATAATGGAAACTGCGTATAGTTACAAACATTGCTGAGAAATTGCAGTCTTGAATAACAAAGGGTCTGTTATTGTTACAACGGAAGAGGGAAGGTGGTTCCAATCGGCGGCTGTTTTCGGTAAGAAGGCTGCTGAAAAGAATTTGGTGCGGCAAAACGGAATGGCAACCTTATGCTGGTGATCAATGCGCGATGAGTGGTATGACGGTTGTGAAATGAGGTCTCGCTTCATTGATGGATTGTGAAAAAATATCTTATGAAAAAAATGCAGTCGCACCAGTTTCCTCCGGACAGTTAAATTGGGCAGGTCAAGGTTAGATTTCATTTCTGATATGCTAGCAGTACGGGAATAATTAGAACAAATGAACCGAGCTGAGCGGTTCTGAACAGATTCTAACGCGTTGATTAAATTTTGCTGCACGGGATCCCATATAGCGGACGCGTACTCAAGCTTTGGGCGAATTAGTGATCGGTATAGTAGAATTTTGAGGGACAGCGGAGCGCGAGAAAAGTTGCGGCGTAAGTATCCTAGCGTTCGGTTAGCGTTATTACAGATGTAGGTAACATGCGTGTGCCAAGATAGATTGTTGGTAATGTAAACGCCGAGGTACTTATATGAAGAGACATGCTGGAGGGGAACTGCGTTAATTCTGTAGGTACAGAAATATACAAACTTAACGTGACTAATAGCATCTCGTGGCTTAATGAACTCATTCTTGCGAAACTTACATGAGTTCTTGGGAGAAAAAAAAAACATCTCTATTTGCAGAGATAGGTATAACCGAAAAAAAATAAATAAACGAATACATTTAAAGGAATACACAGTTTTTTAGGCAAAAAACGTAAATTTCTGCAAAAAATAGCGGCATTTTTTAAGCTTTTTATGTGGCGGAACTAGCACAAGGATGCGGAAAAAAGAGCACACTCAGGTACATGTGTGTGCGTCTGTTTTCCTCCTGCGTCCTTCTGCTAACCGCTGTACACGAAAGGGCTTTGGAATGTTATGCCAAGGAGCTCAAATTTCTACAGTGATGAAATTTCAGACTTCATAGGGACACTGTGACTCTACGTGTTTGCAGACCTGTGTCTTTTATGAAGGGATACCTTAATATTGTGTACTGGCATTATTGTAGTATACGCTAAACTTTAAGCACTCGCTGTGTTCGTCTTCCGCTGAGTTGCAGGTGAGAGGTCTGATTTCCAGTCATGTTGGCCCAATCGAAACGTCGGTGGTACAAGAAAAAAAAAAGAAAAGAAAGTTTCACTGTTATCGATTCCGAAAGTATGAAGTCGCCACCATCTGCCTGTTTCGGTACATTCGAAAGATCACCTCGACTATTGCATAAACTGTCCGTCAGGGTGACTTGAATCAAACGCTAAAGCTGGCCTGCATGGCTATCACTACGCGTGCGATTGCGTTCCGTGTGGTGCGCATGCGTATACTATACCATAAGGGATGTCTGGCATTCCGCTGTCGCCATAGGTCTTGTGCTCCGGGATAAGGTGCCAGGACCAGATGAACATTATGTACCTGTTTCGAAAAACAAGCCCAGTGATAATTCATATATTAAAGGCTAATCTGTCACTTCCTAGAAACAGCTATAGCACTCGCACAATATGACGCCCGGGTGCAGTTTCAGTGAAAAATGAATGATTAACTGACAGTGTCAAGTCAGCTGCTCGCTACATGAGACAGTTCCGGTGGCAATAAATACAGCGTCATCCTGGGGCAGTGCGCAGTTTTCTTTGCCTTATGACCATCGTCATTCACGTATAACGATTCGAGAGAGAGAGAGAGAGAGGGAGAGAAAAATTGAGAGGAAAGGCAGGGAGGTTAACCAAGCTTGGTTTGATTTTTATAACGATTTGGTGTTACTATTTGACTTGCAGGGTCGTTAAACCATTTGTATTCGTATGCGCAATTTTTTTCGACAATTGCGTGCATTTTTCAAATTGAGCTTACGTTCCGCATTCGTTGCATCTAACGAAGCTGTTTTCTTGTCAAATATCACCAAAGCCGGTGAAATTAACTTTTGAATACCACTTTTGTTAGAAGTGACATATTTACTAGTTTATTTGGTGCTCGACGTGCTTAAATTAATTACACTGTATGCCGGCTAGTTAAACATACAGTGAATGATAAAGCGCTAAACATCGGAGGGACAAGACTGAAGCGCATAATAAGGATTTCTGGAATTTATATTTATTAGCCAAAACCTCGATACAATTAAGGCCAAACCTCATAAGCGCGAAAATGCACGCGACAGCGACAAGCGACGCGACGTAGATCGGCTTCGCGCGATCAGTCGGTAGCACAGGCAAACCTCATTCACGCGACAGCTTCGGTAAAGTGAGCTAGAATTCTAGCTCACTTTAGCTTCGGCGAGCGAATTCCACTGTTGCTGGCATGAGGCCGTCTACTCGCACCAAGAAAACCGCGTAGCGAGCGGTATGCAATTTAAAAATAAGATATATTGTTGTGCAATGAAACGGAAAGTGTTTATTATTGCCTTGCAGCACTTTTTTATATGAACATGCGTAATAAACATTGCGTTATTTCTTGTTGCGCATACGTGACTCGGGCAGGGTCACGTGCACCTACGTAGTCCTTGTCTTTTCCGGTATTTCGCTATTGGCTGCTTGAGCCCAGCACTTCCGGGCGATGAGCGACGGTTTCCAAATCTGGAGAACCGAGCGATCGCGCGAAAACGAGCACGCGACACGTCGCGCGAACGCCCCGTTTCGTCGCTCATAGCATCGCTCGTCGCTGTCGCGTGCATTTTCGCGCTTATGAGGTTTGGCCCTTAAGAGGCCCGCCGTGATGCGAGCTTCCGCTAGCAAACCAGGGGTTTTCAAACTGCACCTGGATCTATAGGTACACGGGTGTTTCTGCAATATGCAGATGCTGTGGTACGCGATTGGTACCTGCGCCTGCAAGATTACCAATTCAATTAGCTTAGTAGCCGTTAAGCTACCACGGCGGGTGAGAGAATGGAGTGAGGATACATTTACACAAACTTTCGATCTATTCTCGCTTCAGCCCGGTCCCTTCGTCGTTTCGGGCGGGTTTATAGCATCAAGGGTGGCTCAATCGGTTCTCAGCGTAAAAGACTCACTGAGCGGTGAGCAGTCCGCCCATCGCTTGTCCCAATAGCCGGGCGCGGTAGTCTCCGGGCCCGATGCCGAACAGCATGTCCTCGATGGGACCGCACGGGCATGCCTCGGCGTCGCCGAACGACCGGCACCACCACACGCAGCACGCTAGCAGGGCCAACGCGTACACCCAGACACCGTGCCGCTCGTACACGATGCCTGCGCGCAGCATATCGCAAGTGGTTTCAGGGGCGAAGCTCCTAAAGCCGTGGGTCTGTCCATGCATGTCTGTGACCTGTTTGTAACCACCTAGTTGTATATAGGACTCACTCAGTAGGTGGTGCTAATGTGACAGACAGACAGACAGACAGACAGACAGACAGACAGACAGACAGACAGACAGACAGACAGACAGACAGACAGACACAGACAGACGGACAGACAGACACAGACAGACAGACAGACAGACAGACAGACAGACAGACAGACAGGCAGACAGACAGACAGACAGACGGACAGACAGATGGACAGACGGACAGACAGACAGACACAGACAGACAGACAGACAGACAGACAGACAGACAGACAGACAGACAGACAGACAGACAGACCAGACAGACAGACGAGACACAGACAGACACAGACAGACAGAAGGACAGACGGACAGACAGACACAGACAGACACAGACAGACAGACAGACAGACAGACAGCAGACAGACAAACAGACAGACAGACAGACAGACAGACAGACGGACAGACAGACACAGACAGACAGACAGACAGACACAGACAGACAGACAGACGCATGGACGCACGGATGGCCGGACAGACGCTTCGCCCCACTCATCATCATTCACTCCGTGGACATGCTGTGAGTTTTCTTCCTTTGCACGAACGTTTTCGCATAACAAAACGCCAGTACAGGTCAGCTTATTTGTGGATGATGCACAGTACTCACGGATTAAAACGCGACAGCAATATTGATTCGTATATGCGAAGCTGCTCGAGACAAGCACGTCATGCAGCGGTGAAAGCTGCTCGATAATGATAATGTTATCTCTGATGTACGAGTTCGAGTCAAAATTAAGCCGATATATATGTGTGTTACTTAGTCGTAAATTGTGTTACTTGTGGGTACTTTGCAATCAAACTGTATACACCGATGATGCAGCGTGTCTTTCGGTGCCACGTGTATATAGATCGCGCACGCGATGTACTTTAGTGAACTAATTCTACATTCCATATGGCATGTATGCAACAAAATAAGCTTCAAAACATCTGTACGGTTCTATAAAAGAGCTCGGTCCTCCCATCGAGCACTTCGAACATTTGCAACCCATTAGGGCGATTTTCTGCCGCACAGTGCGATTGTCGTATGGCTTGCGTGCTTTTTCTGCTCTGACGCCGTGTGCCCGGCATCATCAGGCCACGGAGGGCGTGTATGCATTCAGCGTCAAATAACAAAAAAAAAAAGAAAAAAAGAGGGGGTGCGTAAAAAGAGTGTCATTTTGTCCCAAAACGATAACTGGCTTGCTTGTAATTTTTTTTATTTAGTACTCGGTGCTCGCCACCTTCCAATCAAGAATGCTGACACGCTGATAACGCGCATGCCGTTAGTGGCCTGAAAATACCGTACTAAGGCGCTAATGCAAGCAAATGCACGCGATATGGCCATTAATGGTGTGGAACAAAAAACACCCTTTTTACCCGCTGAGTACGATGTTTATTGGAAAAAGACGAGCGCCTATAGCCATGGCCGTGGCCGAGATTTTCAGGAAAGAAAACGCCAGCAAGCTACATTAAAGCCTCGTTAAGTCGACACTCGTTAATACGGAAAAAAAAAATTGGTAATGCAGACGTGTTCTACGATCCCGGCTAGCATATATGCATTGTTTTATGTCATCAAGCTCTCGTTAATTCGTTTATAATTTGACCGTTACCCTGTTCATTCGGATGAACATCGGAGCACAACGAGTACACACATACCAACTTCACTGCGCGTAATTCATGCATTCATTCACTAATTCGTTCGTTAAATCGTGCATACATACAAGCAGCCTTTGCAGATTGACCCACTCCGCTCCCCCCTTCCATGTATTCCCGTGGCAGTCTTTGGAATTACATCGTATACGAAGTTGACAAACCTAGTTCCGCGACGTCGCTACACAATTCCCACGTTCCGATGGCCTCCGAGATGGCCAGGCGCCATTTGAGAGGAGACAGTCTGTTTGCCAGCCGGCGAACTATCATGAACAGTAACATGTTCCCCAGTAGCAACAGGTACGGGACGAGCTCGTCCACGTACGAAGAAGTCGCCGCCGCCTGCACCACCACATCCACTGCAGGTTCCGGCTCCGTCTCATCCATGCCTCTTCACTCTGCAGCACACTGTAGAGTTGTTCCCATGGTGGCTGTGAATGTCTCAACACAAGCGGCAACGTGAACTCAACGAAATTCGCAAAGACGGGAGATATCGGCCTCAATCTGCGTTTGATAGCACCCAAGTGGGTTCGTAACCAAAATGAAAACAAAAACGTGGCTGGTCCTCCTATATAGAAATTAGTTTAACACGAAAGTGAAACATGTCTTTACAGAGGTTGTTGAACGTATATTCTGCATTGCTTCAGCAACAGCATCAAATTGCAAGGTCACGTGAAAAACTACAACCAGCTCGAAACTTGCAGCGCACACCTCAAGCAGAAAGCACGCACGAAATCAGCATACACAGGAGGAGCGCGGGCAAACAACTTTCACAGCTCGACACCTAACGCGCGCTGTTCAAACACAAAGAAAGACGCACGAAACGAGCGTGCAAGTATACACAATAAAAGTGCGAACTGCCACAATATTCCTGCGTCGTGTGTGAACAGCGTGCTCCTTTCGTAAACGCGGCCGCGGCAGCGAGAGAAGTGACCTTTGTTCTCGCCCGAATCGCGACTCTGATAAGCGCGCGCGCCGGAAAGACCACGCTCCGTGGAGGCAGCGCTCCGAGGAGGCGACGACCTTTAGAGCGAGCTAAACGCGAGCCCTTCGCAACATCTCGCCACTGATAACGAAAACGCGCTAAAGTTTAGGACCTCTGACGGCTTCCAAGCGGTGTATGGCGTATATAAATAGCTTGCCGTTAGCATTCCTGGCAACGTACGTTCCGTGGTGTAATGATTAGCGCCGCGCGCCGATAATGATGAGGTTGCTGGTTCGCTTCCGCGTGACAAATGCTTGCTTTCTGGTTTTTAGGGGTAAAACTTCTTAAGCCGTGGGTCTCTACATGCATGTCTTTCTTGTTACTGACCGCCTAGTTCTATGACTCACTCAGCAGGTACGGACAGACGAACTGACGGAGAATTCACGGTTTACCGATGAAACCCTCCGAAACTTCGCCACACTCATCATTCACTATAGGCTGTAATTTTTTTTCTTTGCAATCTCTTAGTGTATATTTTATAACGTTACTTCCGTGACGGAAGTACGTCAGCATAGCCGCGATTAATCCCGGCATAACACACTTTTGTGTTAAAAATAACTCCATTATCAGCGTCAGCCCAAAACAAATTATTCTTCCGAACACGCTGGCAGGAGGTGGTCTTCCCAATAATTAGAATTGGGTTATATGTTAAAAAATGGTTACGCGCACGGGTTTAAGGTAGCTAGCTGATATTTATAGCTTCGGGGCAAAAGAAGCTCCAGACCTTATGTCACATATAATGAAAACTTTAGAGCATACACATTCTAAATTTTCATCTCACAATGTGTTTCATTGTATGTATTCGGCGTGAGTATGTAGTCTCAACTTTAACGCGTTGTGATCTGTGTCGTAGTGCAGCCGGAGGGTCATTTAGAACCACTCATGCGTTCACGTTTCGCAGCTATGCAGTTTTAGATTAGCGTACGCAAATCTTTGCGTTAGCGTTTGCCGCCACTGCGCATCCGTCGTGTACGCTATCCTCTTGCGGGCCCTCGTTCAAAATAGCGGATTACCACAACGTCCGCTATATTTGCGCCTAGCCTCGGTCGTCTCCGTGGCGCTCGATTCCTGATTCCAAAGATCGCGGGTTCAAATCGAATCTCGGCTGCGGCGGCTGAGTTTTCGATGAAGGTGAAAATGCACATTGAAGTAATCCAGGTGGTCTAAATTTTCGGAGCCTCCACTACGGCGTCTCTCGTAATCATATCGTGGCTTTGGGAAGTTTAACTTCCATAATACAGTGTTTCGGAATAGCGTATGCAAAGCTTTGCGTTTGCGTTGCGAATGCGTCGTACGCTAACCTTTCGTGAGCTCCCATTAAGTGACGCCCCCGATCTTTGCGTGTAGTATTCTAAAACTCTCTAAATTATATCTTTGGGTACCTATTCTAAATCTTCTTTTCAAAGGCATATGCAGCTTAGCGATCTTTCACCTTAATTGGTCTTCCTGCCGTGAAAGCTTCATGTGTCAATAAATACGACCGCATAGTTTTTCTTTTTTTTTTGCTGGTAACAATTGTTTTCCGGGATAACACACTCGTATTCCGAAATGACTTGATGTTGAATAGTAGAAAATTTCATTTGTTCGTTTCGGCTATTTATTTTATGAGGGTGGAGCCCTCGGTCCAGGACGTCACTGCAGGGCCATGGGTATTTCGGTTGGCCGGGTGTCTTGGGGCATCCCCACGTAAAATGGTTAATTGGGTGTCCTCCAGATTAGTTGGTTGGGATACCCGCAGAGAACTGTGATGGTTTATTTAGTAAGCACGTACCATATAAACTGCATGCTTGCAGCCGGCCCGTAACCACGGATTGAGGGAGGCCCCACCCTTGCTCTCACCTCAACTTCTCCGCGTAGTTTTGTTGGAGTGAGTATTTCATCGACAATAAGAAGTAGGCGCTTTGTCGAAAAGCCAATGCATTCAGCAGGTACACTCCTTCTTTCACTTCGAAAAAATTTCTCACCCCTCAAATCCTGGCCGTTCAGAGGGCCCGCGTGATGGCGGTCAGATTTAACCTGACCGTCCCCGAGAGGGCCTAGCCAGGTGACGCTGAATTAACTCGCGTCTGTTGTGGACTCAATAAAGTTATTTCACTCACTCACTCACTCGCTCACTCCCTACGCGCCTGGCTTGCAGCATGGTATTTCCTGGCATTGGTATTATAAATAGCAATTACAAATCTACTTCGTCGGCCTAGGATTCAGTTTGTTTCTTAGCCGTGATTTCTGCTCGCTCTCCAAGGAGCTGCAAAAGTTTTCACATACCTGATCCTGCACGCCAAATTTTCGATGTGCAGCAATACTACTATTGTAAAGAAAAATGGGTTCATGAAGGTGCGTGGAGCAAACACCAGGTGCAGTAATTTTTTCTCCCCTCTCCTTTGTAAGTGACTCGACGAGCGTGATGCTACTGAGAATTGGAAGTTCTTTTTCCATCCGCACGTGGTAATTAAAAAAAAAAAACAAAGGCTCTACCATTCCTGGTGGAACAAGAAAAGTCAAGTTTGTACGACCTGCTCGACTACCGCGTTGGCTGCGAGCCATGTTTACTCAAGGCGCGTTTACACTAGAGAGACACGACACTGATTTTGGTCTGCGGGCTGTCTTTAGGAGTGTCTTTTCTTTTGTCGTCGGCCTATGTACACTGCAAAGACACAAACAGTCCCCGTGTGGTCTCTCGAGAACCCCGCTCGCGCCTTGTCGTGCTCACAGTATATTTCGTTGCATTGGAGGCACACGCAGCGACACCGACTAAACGTGAACACCTGCACCTCATTTTCAGCCATGCTCCCCGCTCTGGCATTGTCCCTCTCCGGCTAAGCGGCGCTCGTGTCTTTCGTGTCCTTCTTGTCTCTGTGTCGTCGTTTTGTTCTCGCGCTATAACTATCGTCATGCCATACCGACTAGCCCAAGCTGCCACACTTCTAAGGCGCAGCCCCCGCCGTAATCCGTGGTGAAGAGGGACGGGGGTGTTGCACACAACAGGGAAGCGAAAAAAAAAAGACTTCGGTTGGGTGCTCGAGCTGCCTATTCAGACGCCGCGGAAGCTTCGGAGAGGGCATTGGTAACTCCCCCAAGATTGCCAGCTTCGTGGTCGTTTGAAGCAAGGGCATGGGGCGAATTTTCGCTCAGCCGCGGATCTCCCGTAGACACGTTGACGACAGGTCTGCGGGTGCGTTTTGCTGGGGTTTTCGGTCTCTCATCACGTTACACTACGCTGAAATGTTGTCTTTTGGGGCGTCGTCGGCCTAGTGTGACCATGGGGTCTGGCGACTTCGTAGGCGGGCGACTCGTCGGCCGATGGTTTGAGTCTGCCTCGTGTTTTCGTCGGGTGATGACAGTGTCGTGTCGCTCGAGTATAAACGCGCCTTTAGCAGCTGTGGCACTCGCGTCAGCGCGCAGTGATGGAATGAAGTTAAAGAAGTGGGTATATTGCGGTGATTCATATGCCACCGGGACTGGCGCCCCTTAAGGCGCGTTTACACTAGAGCGACACGACACTGACATGAGCCCGCCGAAGACACGAGGCAGACGCATACTATCGCCCGATGAGTCGCCCACCGACGAAGTCGTCAGAACCCATGGTCATACTAGGCCGACCACGACGCCTCAAAAGACAGCATTTCGTCGTAGTGTAACATGATCAGAGACCGAAAGCACCAGCAAAACGCATCGTAGACCGGTCGTCTGCGTGTCTTTGGGAGATCAGCGGCTGAGTGAAAATTCGTCCCATGTCCTTGCTTCACACGACCACGAAGCGTGCAATCTTGGGGGAATTAACAATGCCCTCTCCGAGGCTTCCGCGGCGTCTCAATAGGCAGCTCGAGCACCTAACGGAAGTCTTTTCTTCACTTCCCTATTGTGTGCATCACCCCCGTCCCTCGTTACCATAGATTACGGCGGGGGCTGCGCCGCTTAGCCGGAGAGGGACAATGGCAGAGTGGGATTTGAATGATTGATTGAAATGTGGGGTTTAACGTCCCAAAACCACCATATGATTATGAGAGACGCCGTAGTGGAGGGCTCCGGAAATTTAGACCACCTGGGGTTCTTTAACGTGCACCCAAATCTGAGCACACGGGCCTACAACATTTCCGCCTCCATCGGAAATGCAGCCGCCGCAGCCGGGATTTGAACCCGCGGATGGCAGAGTGGGGAGCATGGCTGAAAATGAGGTGCAAATGTGCAAGTTTAGTAGGTGTCGCTGCGTGTGACTCCAATGTGACTACAGAATTGGCCAAGAAAAGACTATGAGCGCGACAAGGTGCGGGCGGGGCCCTTGAGAGACCACCCGCGGACTGAGTGCGTCTTTGCAGTGTACATAGGCTGACGATAAGAGAAAAGACACTTCTAACGACAGCGCGCAGGCCGAAAACGGTGTCGTGTCTCACCAGTGTAAACGCGCCTTCACAACCAGCGAAGGTGAAGGTTAAACCTTTGTTCGCATGGTTCCCTGCTCACGTGGGTCCCCTGGAAAGAGGCCCAACTAACCACAACGAGCTCCAATACACGACGCCTCACTTTCCGGTCATCTGCGAGAACACAATCCGAGGTTTCGAAAAACGTGGACTCTCCGAGCACATAAGCAGTGAAATCACACAATACTTACACCTAACCTTAGAGGACATTTCCCTTCCTAAAAGAAGAAAATAAACAGACCCCAAACTAAGGCTCCTTCAAGCCGGGGCTTAACCAAACTAGCTTTTATTACACGCGCTGCACCCAGACACGTTTACACTCGTGTGCAGCCTGCAAAGGCTTAGCAGATTAAGAAATGCTGCTCCTGTTGTACGGGACACCATGGACCTCAAGCAAGAAAGATATTACTCGGCCACACGCAGTCCCGACTTGAAGAACCATCCATGGTGCCCATGACTGAGTGGTCAGGGGTTGCCCGCCCCGACGTGGGCTTAGCGGCCCTTTTCGCGTTAGAAGGTCGCGTTTCTCGGTGCCTCAATAATGTTTTGCTTCTATAAGTGCTTGCAAATGTTCCCGCGACACAGAGCGAGGGTTCACTGTTCACTTGTTGCACTAGCTTGTAGTTAGTTCGCAAAGGAATACTCACAGAAGGAGGTGAATCAGTGCGTAGTGTGTATGCGCTCTGATTTTCCGTGCCGTTGTCTCGTCAACTTTCTACGGCATTGAATAGTCACTCTTATGAATGTCTCAAACGTTAAAAGATATACTTTCTACTTCAAAAATGAAATGATAGATCTCAGTGGATCTTCTTGCGGACTCGAATAACGGTGAAAATGGAGAAAATACGAGATAAAGATGTAAGATGGCGTTCTATTAGTTTAAATGCGTAAATAAACAGTTTATGCTTTAAAGGTAACTAATTGATAATCATACAGCTGTGCTATGCAATGCTAGAAACCTCAACAGCCGGCCTTTCTGCATTCCTTGGTGTCTGGGTCTATATCGAAAAACTTGCTTTCACGTGCGCCTCGTCACGAGCATCCGTCCTCACAAACTCGACAGCTATTTTCAAACGCGCTCTATCCCGTACACATTCATTCACAGTGCCCCTATAGAGGCAACGCAAATGATAGCACAGACGAAGCCTGCATGTTTTCACGCGGCATTCCTTAAATTACTGCGAAGTTTGCACTCGATTGGACACCTCTGTCGTTCGTTCTCCGAGCCATCGCTATAGCGCTATTTCAGGCCCGGGTGACTTTGAGACCTTAATTTTATCTGTATCCCGATCTCACTATGGTTTAAGACTCCGGAGATCCGCAAGACAGAGTCCGTGTTATGAAGCATCAAGAGTAACCCATCATCGGAGCCCGTTGCAACGACCCGTGATTATCACAACGCGGGAACCAATCGCTTGTAAGAAGAACGAAGAAGGAGAGGAGCAAGCAGAAAAGCGTTAACACGCTCACCGTTTAGCAGGAGCCCTCGATGTCGACCCAGGGTCGGGAGTGGAAGGTGGGTGGGAGGCGGGAGGTGACGCCGCGCAGGCATCGCCGGGACGAGCCAAGGCTGCCGCCGGTGACGCTATTCTTGGCATCCCCGCTTGTCAGGTGTCCAAGGGTGCGGGGACGCGACACACTCACTGCACGGGAGCCGAGCTGCAGAGCCGGGCCCTGGTCTCTGCACTTCCTCGACCCTTGGGCTGCAGTCTACCCGTGCGCTCTTTATGCAGACATCAAGTTTAACGCAGAGGAGTCCACTGTCGTTTAAGATCTTCTTCGTCCGCGTACGTGTGCATGCCTGTGCGTCATCTGTCAGTGTGCGTGTTGTCGTTTTCACAGTGCCCCTGCTGCTACCGTTTGTGCGCGCCCGCGCGCAGCCGCGCGTTTCACGGCTGCAAGCAGTCGAGTGCGAAAGCGCCTGGTTGCGCGGTGCTGTGTGAGCGTGTTAAAGCAGCGTTGGATTTCACGTTCAAGGACGAGTGTCTGCTTCTTGCTGACTCGCAATTGGGTCATAATGACCATAGCATCCATGTTAACAAACGTGCAAAGTAGTTCTTTCCAAACCGAACTAATCAGTTTTGTTTTGAATACTCGTTAGCGTTTGTATTAGTAATACGCTCTTTGCGCTTTTATTTGCTTGAGGTCTTGCAGATGTTCTCACGCTTATTGACCTCTCGCTTTCTTACACAGACACACCAGTCGCAAGAGCCACGCTATCGTACCTCTCTTTCAATTACTGATTCAAGCGCACGCCAAGAATGCGTGCAAGTGGAGGTTGGATCAATTACGATATGGAATTTCCGAAAGCGGCCAAAACGAAGAATCGTGTGTATTACGGATGCCTCACATGCGAAGCCTCACACGGCGACATTACGGAGGAGTCTGTGATGTTAGTCTGTGTTCATACTCACTTGTCGAAGAATGCCACTAGGCAGGTAGAACGCTAATTTGTTCCGAGACCTGCGAGTTGCCACGCGAAATGATTTACGAGCCCATGTTTATAGGTTTTAGTGCGGAGACAAATCACAGTGTTGCTTTGACATGCTGCCTGCATCAGCAGGTGACGTGCTGACGCAGGCAGAAGGCAGCACGTGACGTGCTGAAATTGTGACGTGCTGAAAATTGTGACGTGCGGCCTGCTGACGCAGCACTAAAGCGGATCTTTAAAGTGCACACTTTGCTTTGATCAGTTTGTGACGAAACCAGGGTGATCCAGACAGAAGGAGAGGCGTATTGATAGCTCGCACGCCATGTTATCTACGCGCAGTATGGTCAAGATGGCGGCTTAGATGACGTCATGGCAGTATAATCACGTGGTAATGAACCTGCTTCAGAGTGATAACGACGTCGTTGGAACGTTATTGGGCCTCTGTGCACGAATAACGAAGAAATCGGCATGTACTGATAACACTATAGCGTGGCATCACAAAGTTCGCATCCCATTATGTTGGTGCTCCAACGACGTGGCTGTTTCAGTGAGGACAGTCCAAGCCTTCTATAACACGGCACTCTTACTAGGTGCAACAAATCATAGAATAACACAGCGAGCGCGCGCACGTGTATGTATGTATGTATGTATGTATGTATGTATGTAGGTATGTATGTATGTATGTATGTATGTATGTATGTATGTATGTATGTATGTATGTATGTATGTATGTATGTATGTATGTATGTATGTATGTATGTATGTATGTATGTGTGTGTGTGTGTGTGTGTGTGTGTGTGTGGTGTGTGTGTGTGTGTGTGTGTGTGTGTGTGTGTGGAGAGATAATGATCTGCACAATTATTTTCTACCCACAAAACAAAATAAATAAGCATTAACGCGCAACAGGAAGATCGAAAAACAAAAACAAAATATGCTTGCCAATTGCTATGAAACACAGTGGTGAGACTGTTACAGCCGTAGCTGAATAGCGACAGCGTCACGTACGTGTACGATACCTGCCTCACCTGTGCTGTGCCATGTCAGTCATATGATGTTGGGGCTTTCGCTCAACGAGTTCTCTCCAATCGACGTTCATTAAAACAACCATATAGTAGAGTTACCCACACTTTTTATCAAGGCATTTGCGTATCTACATTCACATCCTGTGGGCGTTTTGGAAAGCACCAAAAGAGAGTTGGGGAGGGGTGAAGTGGAGTTGATTGATTGATACATATATTGAGGTGTTTTCCCATCCGACAGCAGTTGATCCAAGGAATGTGTTGCGCGAGATGAATATACATTCAGTATTAAAAGGAGCTCTTGAAGCCACATCGGAAATGAGGTGGCGGGTATAAGAACATGGAAGTGGAAGTGCGCGCACGTGCGTTTATGTATCCCCACATTTATGGCGAATCTTTAAATAAGTCTTATTGCTCCCCCACACGCTGCGAATTGAAGAAGGTGCAAAGAAATTGTGACAGAGGTTCGCATAGGTTTAATGTCGTGTATATGGCAATGCACAGTCGTGTCGTAATAACCTATAGGGCAAATGATCCAGTGTACCGTGACGAAACGTAATTTTGGAATTTCTGCATGCCAGAATAAGGCCAGACACGGTAACGCACAACCAGCGCGAAGAAAATCGATGCGCCGAACATGGCCCACTGTGTTATTCCACGCGACATCGTCAGTGTAACTGCAGGCAGCGCGATAACACGCTTGCCATCGCTGGCCCACCTTAGGTGACGTCAGTTACTGAAGGGGTTGAGGACCTCGCCCCGATTCACCGTGTCGAAAAACTTAGCAGCCACGTGGTGCATTGTAGGACTGAACTTTGTTGAGGTAAAGTTCTAAACTTGGATTACATCAAGGAATCAATAATTTTGTGGGGCTCCCTCAATGCGAAGTACATCAGCACGTTCCCACTCTCCGCCCTCTTCCATTTCTGGGGAAAATGAGGAAGCTGCTCATCAAGCCCCAAACCAATTCATACCGTACCCGAGCGACACCGCGCTGGGACCAGGTGTTCATTCATGATATTAATGTCATGCGGAAATGGAAGAGGGGTCTTATGAACATGTTGAGTTATTTCGGAAATGACTATTCGGGATGGAAAGGAAGGGGCTGTGTCGCCTGGGGTGGATAAGGGGTTTCGGGGAATGCGTGTAAATCGCGGCGCATGCTGCCCTAGAAGGGAAGGCAATACCACTATAGAATTTTAGTTGACGATCATATTACCACCCCCACCTAACTATAGACCTATGTCAAACACTTGAAAGATGTCATATCGGTCAATGACTTTATTCGCATCGTTCAATTAACTAAGCGAATAACTCTAGAAGCTCTCGGCCACTTACTTGTAGCCTTTCTACAAGATCTACATCGTCATCTTATTTCTCGTCTCGTTTCCGAGAGGGCGCTGGCCCATAGGCATGCGTACAATATGGTGGTTGGGTGAAGGTGCACCAGATGGCGTTGGTGGTGCAGCAGCTCTCCAATTGGCTGCTGCGCGGGCTGCGCGGGGTTGCGCCAGGCGCCGAGCTCTCATTCGCCGGATCGTCGCCGTACGAGTGCGCTTGCCGGATCGTGCTGCTTGGCGGACCATGGACGACGAGGAGCGCCGGATGCCGAAGGCCGCTGCGGCTCGTGCTCGTCGGCCAAACCCCACCACGGACAGGGGAACGTGCATAGAAGTTGTCTTTGCAAATTTTGGTCACGCCCGTTCAAGAACCCCTATCGCTGCATTTAACCGACCACAAGGCGGTAATCATGAAGGCGAAAATACAACCGGTCGTCGAAGTTTGAATAAAATTTCACACACACTATCGCTTTCATTACTGCTGGGCGAAACTGCTGAAAATATCATGCTGTAACTATGGTTGCTTCGCGAGATTCGCCACAAACTCTTCATCATTCACCCCGTGGATATGCTTTGATTTTTTTTAGGACTGAAGCTCCTTAGGGTGTGGGTCGTTCCCTCGTAACAGTATATGCTGGGGCAGTAGCCACATCTCATTTAGACTGTAGTAGTAGCCACTTCTAGTTAGTTTTAAGAATTGCTTACTGAATGGCGTTATCTGTGTATGACCTTGCAAATAATATCACTGGCGTCTGTTCTTTTCATACAGTTGACGATTAAAGAGGACAGATGGCGCTGTTATAATAACAAATTCACAGCACATCTTCGGAGTCAATGGTTACGAGTAGAATGAAGCGTCCGTCCGTCTGTCTGTCGCACAGACGGATGGACGCTTCGCCCCACTCATCATCATTCACTCCATGGATATGCTGTGACACTTTTTTTGTTTTAGTCGTTTCACGCAGCTCGAACCGTTTCAATATGTCGTAAAATCGAATGAAGCGTCTGCATAATGCGTGCTGGAAAATGCGAGACTCCTCCGCAGGCGTGTTGTGTTCTTTGGCGGCAGTAGAGGCAATGGTTTGTGCACCATATACGTATACATTTGATTTCCTCGCATGCAAATTTAATGACTGTCATTCACCTTAGTTATACTGACCTCTTTTTTTTTTCTTTACCTGCTCATGGCCTGTACCCGTTATATACAGAGACTTGCAATGTACGTTGGATGAGCGACAGTGAGCTTGAATAATCTGCTGTGCATTGCTCCCAGCACTGGGTGATTCCTCGAGAGATCGACACGGGTCGAAAAGTTGATATTTTCGATTTGACTGTTTATTTTATATTTTATGCACATACCACCCAGTAGCCCAAAAGTGAACTCTGTTTTTATTAACTGCATAGTTTAGGCGGAAAAAATATAGAACCTATTTTGTAAAAAGGGACCAATTTGGTCCCTTGTCATTTTTGAAAGTTAACGACGATATAAAAACACCAGTAATAGCTTGATGAAGACGATTTTTTTCTAGTAAATGCACGCGCAAGGAAGAGTGAAACAGCATTGTTTGTAGCTTGTGAAAGAAACTGTTTCTGAAAAATGTCTGAACAGGTGACAATTTCAAAAAGTTGCTTGATTTGAAATTTTTTTCTTCATAAGCTAAACCAGCTAGTGTATCATAACTTGGTTACCTATTACAACATAATGTGTACAATATTGCCTGTCAGTACTGTTGCTG